CTGACGGCAGCAGTGCAGTCGAAATTGGATAGGGAGGATGATGCGCTGGTTGGTGTGAGATGCAAGGGGTCTTTAATGTGTGAGTTGGCATTTTTGCTTCTCTCCCGCGAACGCCGTCTCCAATTGAACTTAATTCAGGTACCGGCTGGGCACGCGATCAAGCTTCTGACACTGTCTTTAGGCGAGCTGAAGGATGCTTTTCAGGGGAGCTGAGTGGCACTTGGGGTCTGAAGTTTACTGCCAAGAGCCCCTAAACCTCGGTCTCTAGGACAGTGTGTGATTTTTCACACTGTATCACGCACTGGCCAAGCTTCAAGCTGCAGCCCCTTGTGGCTGACGTTTTGATAAGGCTCATCGCGATACAACCACCAGCTTACACGTCGCTTTTCTTGCAGTCGCATCCTTTGCAATGCCACACCCCTGAACATTATCCGATACAAGGCATGAGCTGCTGAGGCAGTCTCTCCAGCTTAGCAACATGTCCGACGAGGATGAACCCCCCAAGCTCACGGTTCCAAAGTTTGCATCTTTCAAGCCGAAACCAGAAACCTCGGAGCTGAAAGTACCCAAGTTTTCGTCTTTCAAGTCAAAAGAGAAGGACTCTAGTGCAAGCGCAGGTTCAAGATCGCGAGAAAGAGAGCGTGATCGAGACTCGAGGAGGAAACGACACCATCACTCTGACAGTCATCGCGATCATCACCACTCAAAAAGGCACCGCTCAGAGCACGGAGAAAGGGAGAAATCTCGACGCTCTAGTCGCTCGGGGACGCCAGAGCATCAGCGACGCGTCGAGCCTCCTCGAGACAACAAGGAGGCTTCGCGATTGTATGTGATCGACACAAAGGGCGATCCCTTGATTATTCGCTATGGCCATCTTGATCGAGCTCAGGTTCCTGCCTACTACCGTGACGGATATGGCAAGGTTCTTGGTACCACTGGTCGGCTTGTGATACACCGCGATGGACCCAGAGATCAGTTCAGCCTCCGCATGCCGGGTGAAGGCTCCTATGCTTTTAAGGACAAGGATGGGCTTCGCTCAAAGGCATGGCGAGTGAGAACAAAGCCACTTCGAATCCGAAAGCAGGAGAATGAGTCTCTGGAAGATGCTGACGACGACTTTTTACCGTTGAACACATCCAAAAAGCGCAAGCGTGGCCAGCAAGACACGGAATCATCTGATGAGGAGGAAAAGCCATCATATCGCTCGATAGAGGGCAAAGCGAAGCCTCGACAGTTTGTCGACAGCGATCTGGAGACTGACTCAGACTCGGATGTCGAGCAGGTCGACTTGGATCAAAACAACCCCCTGAAATGGAAGTCGATACAACTTTCCAGACGCGTCAAGGATCAGCCGGATGATATTGATGCCTGGCTCGAGCTGGCAAATCATCAGGATGCCCTTCTAAGAGCCGGCGAGGACATTGACCACAGAGCACTCGAAGCTGAGGTGCACTCCTTTGCTGAGATCAAACTACACATGCTTGAGTCGGCTTTGGCAAACGTTTCAACTCCTCAAGATCGAACTCGGGTGTTGGTTCCTTTGATGCGCGAGGGAGTCAAGGTGTGGAATAGCAAGACGGCTGCCAAGAAGTGGGCAGATCTGCAAAAGGACGAGGAAGTCAGTTTTACGTTGTGGAAGACACACCTTGACTTTGCTCTGTCCAACATATCCGCCTTTCACTATGAGTCGATCAAGCAGATGCATCTTAGTCGACTTAGTCAGATCCTCGCGCAATCTGGATCAGATCTCGGTACAGAAGACTTTAGCGAGGCCATATACGTCTTTCTAAGGCTTACGAGATTCATTCACGACTCTGGATACAAGGAACTTGCGGTTGCAGCTTGGCAAGCTTTCCTTGAACTCAACTTTTTTCGACCTCCACATCTGGATGACCAGACTGCAGCATTCGAATCACTTCGAGATTTCTGGGAGAGTGAAGTTCCCCGAATAGGAGAAGCAGATGCCCAAGGCTGGGCAAAGTTTGTCGAAGATGGCGGTATAGGGGATGCCCCTGAGTCACTTGAGGAAAGCAAGGATATCGTGAGCCAGTCTCGAGATGACTACAGGCGCTGGGCCATCATTGAGCACTCTCAGACAGAGAAGGCTCGAATGCCGGCGAGAACCATGGACGAGGGGACAGAAGATGACCCGTTTCGAGTGGTCATGTTCTCTGATATTGAGCCGTTGCTCTTTATTGTGCCGAGAGATGTTATACAAGTTGTGCAAGAGCAACTTGTCGATGCTTTTCTCATCTTTTCTGGGTTCCCACCTACCTTTCGATCAAATGTCTTGACGGAAGAGGCATTACATGACCAGTTCCTGGTTAGCTCGAGTGCAACTGAAGAACAACGGAGTCTGGAGGCTCCCTCTGGTGATGAAGATCCAGTTGAGATACAGCGAAAACCGCCAGCTTTTACACATCAGCCTCTTTGTGTCTCTCAATCCCCCGACATATTGTTTTCGGGCGAAGAGTGGTTTTCTTATCTCCCAGGGAGGAATGGAAGCAACGAGGTTGAGCTGAACCTTGTGGTTAATGCTACCAAACAGCTGGTCCATACTGCCAACTTTGAGGCACTCGCGGGATTTCATCTGGCGTTGTGTGCGGCATGGGATGGAAATGGTGTCAAGAAGCCCGCCAAAGCTCTACTCAAGCGCTACCCTGCTAACCTCGACTTGTACGGCGCATATGCTCTGGCCGAGTCTGCCAGTGGAAGTCATGATGTTGCAGTTAAAGTCTTTTCGTCAGCAACAGCGCTTACATCTGTAAGTACACTATAACTATATGTTCGGAAGATCCGATTGCTAACACATGGTACTAGAAGGCGTCAACGCCAAGTGCCTTTGGGCTTTGGAGGAGATGGTCCTGGATGGAACTGGAACTTGGGAACAAGAAAGTGGCAACTCAAAGGCTATGCGCTTCTGTGAATGATAACTTACGTTCTTTGGACCAAGCTCCCGACGTATCTTCGACGCATATCCTCAAAGCTCATCAAGCCTTTTCTTCTAGGATGAACGACTTTCTCTCTGCTGGCGGACTGGATCATGCAGAAAGTCTTATCGAGTGTCTGGTCTTGCTGTCATATTTGACTGCTGAAGGCTGTTCTGAGCCAACGTCAGACTCTCAAGGAAACATATCAGCCGCGATTGAAGTTATTCACAAACAATCTCTTGAATTCAAGAGGCGAGGACATCAAGCGTCACCCGCTCACGAGCGGGCCCTACAATTTGCGGCGAGATTACTATACTTGCACGCAACACGAGGGTAAGTTTTCTTGCAGAAGCTGATGGACAATTGCTAACAGGATCAAGGCCCTTCCGACGCGCATACCTACTTGACCAGCTGAAGCAATTCCTTGGCTACTTTCCCCGAAACAGCATCTTCTTGGCTCTGTTCGAGTGGGCTGACTCTAGCCTTCGTGTAATCGACGAGACGAGAACACTCCTATATGAGACAGTTCTCACTCCAGCTCAGGACTGTCTGAGCAGCCGACTATTTGCCATTTATCACGAGATGGAGCGTGGTAACGTCAACACTACAAAGGCAGCATTCGAGCACGCCGTGTCGAGCGACCTGTGCAAGTCCAACACTGGCCTGTGGATCAAGTTTATCCAGTTCTGCAGCTTGCAGAGGGAACTACGGCCCAAAGCCAAGGATGTATTGTTCCGAGCACTGAGGCAATGCCCATGGTCAAAGGATGTCATGATGGAGGCGTTCCTGACGCTGAACCGGGACATGGAGTCCTCTGAGCTCAAGGGGGTGTTTGAGACGATGGCATCCAAGGGGCTGAGGGTCCATGTTGATTTGGATGAGTTTCTCGAGAAAAGGAGGAATGCAAGGCGAGCCCAGAAGGGTCGAGCATGAGATGTGTTGTGGTAATCATGAGCTGGAATGGTGGCACGGACAGATGTCATGATGGAGAAATGTAATCTCGTATCCAAACACAACAACACTTTCGTATAATTATTCATCAAGGAGTCACAGGCTATTGCGTGGCTCAAACGCCTTTCGAGAAAAGGGGAAGATGGCTTGTATCAAGGGCTTGGACCTTGAAGGTTGCCAAGTGAGCTCGGCTTGTGGTTGCCGCGGAAATGGAACGATACGCCTATGACAGCGACAAAGGTCTTCTTGGCAATCATGAAGAGAGTTGCCAAGCCCCCCTTTATGTTTTACAAAGGAGAGTAGAATCCGTTGCCTACGTATCATCATGTGGCTTAGGGGTTTAAGCTGGAGTCAAGACGGAAAGACGGCACTGCTCTCAGCCTTGGGTTTGTTTTATGTTAGAGCTTCATTTATGGTTCTGACAGAACCTGCCTGGTCTAAGCATTAGCTACAACATCATTCCTGGCTTAGAGTGTTTCACATTGGTCAGTTCGTAAAAGAAACACAGGCCACGTGACGATCCTATTCAAACCGAAAGGCCTTGAATTTTCGTTTACCGGGTCAACCACTATAAATAGTGACCGCGGGTAACGTGGTTGATGTTTGTTCAGCTGCTCACAAGACCCTATAGGGGTCCCCGTTGTGGGGCATGTGTTGCAAGCTATCCTGAGCTACCCTTGAACATGAGACCACGTCAGATGAGATGGATGCCAGATTAAGGAAGCCCTTGTAGTTTTTGACTGTGGCTTGCTCTTTCCTTGCCGAGCGTGGAACGAAAAAAAAGATAGTAGGGAAGGAGAGGCCGCCAGTTTGCAAAATGAAATCTTTCAAGATGGATTCGTCTCTTGAGGCTGCACCGTCATCCTTTTCCCCCAGTTTGGGCTGACTTGACTTGATTCTCTAATGGTCTAGAATATGCAGGGGCAGCAGCTACAGCAAGAGAAGCAGCAGCAGCAGAATGTGGTGGACGCCGCCCGCCAACCAAGGCCTGTTCGACGACAGCGAATAACTTCACGTCTGCAACACCACTTCATCGCCCTCTCATTTTTACGCTCGCTGCTCGATCTCACGTCATCAAAGAAGGAACGGAAACGAAAGAGACTCTCTCGTCATCTCAAGATGCCTCTTCCACTACAGGCTGGTGGCGGTGCCAGCGAGACGTCCCGCTCTCTTTCGAGCGTCGACCCCGTCGTTCGTGCGCACCTTGTCAAAATCTTTGAGTCTCTGGTCGACTGTGAGGATGGCACCTGGAGCCACGAGGCCATCTACTCGTTTGTACAGAAGACGCAGCAGCTCGATCCTTCGACCACCGTCGATGAATTACTCGCCCGCGAGTCGCTTGACCTCGACGGCTTCATCGCCTTCATGACGTCGTCGCTCGCAGCGGCCACGACCCCGCCCAAGCCTCAGGACCTCTCGTATCCGCTCGCCGCGTACTTTATCAGCTCCAGCCACAACACCTACCTCACGGGCAACCAGCTCTCCAGCGATAGTTCTACTAGGCCCTACACTGAGACCCTGCTGCGTGGTGGTCGGTGCATCGAGATCGACGTCTGGGACGGTGATGAGTCGGACGCTGAGGGGACAAGCAGCCCCAGTAGCAGCGACGAGGAGGCGGGCAAGCCCATCAGGAGAATCAAGAAGAAGAAGGGCACATTTAGCAAGCTCAAGGCCAAGCTCGGAAAGACGACCCTCGACGATGACGCAGAGGCCGATCCCGCCTCCGCTTCCGGCGCCGGTGCCGAATCTACGGAGCCCGAAGTCGCCATCGTTGAGCCCCGGGTCCTCCACGGATACACCCTGACCAAGGAGGTCTCGTTCCGCGCCGTCTGTGAGGCCATCCGAGAGAGTGCCTTTGTCGTCAGTGACCTTCCTGTGATCGTCTCCCTTGAGGTTCACTGCACCCCGGGTCAGCAGATGTGCATGGTGCGCATCATGAAGGAGACCTGGGAAGGTCTCCTCGTCCCTGAACCCGAGGGGGACCCAGATGCGTTGCCCAGTCCAGATTCGCTCCGCCGTAAGCTCATCGTCAAGGTCAAGTACGCACCACCCGGCACCGAAGCCCCGTTGGAGGACAGTGAGGATGACGACCAGCCTGCTCCTCCAGGGGCAGCGGCGGCAGCAGCAAAGAAGGTATCAAAGGTGATCCAGGAGCTGAGCCGCATGGGTTTCTACTCTCGGGGCGTCTCCTTTAAGAGCCTGACGCAGCCCGAGGCCGGAATGCCTACGCACATCTTCTCGCTGTCTGAGAAGAAGGTGATTGATGTGCACGAGAAGCAGGCGTCGGACCTGTTCAACCATAACCGCCACTTTCTCATGAGAACGTACCCTTGGGGTCTGCGGATAGGATCGTCCAACTTGGACCCTGCCATCTTCTGGCGTAAGGGTATTCAGATTGTTGCCCTGAACTGGCAGAGATGGGATGAGGGCATGATGCTCAACGAGGGCATGTTTGCTGGCACAGGAGGTTACGTCTTGAAGCCTCCAGGTATGAACACCATCATATGATGTCACCATGTCACATAACTAATCATATATAGGATACCGACCAAACCGTAGCAAGGGAGACGACGATGGGGACGACGCCTCTTTCAACAAAATCACCCGCAAGACCCTTCATCTCACCATCACCGTTCTCGCCGCCCAAAACATCCCCCTTCCCCCTGGTGACACATCCGCCCGTGGCTTTGAGCCTTACGTCAAGGTCGAGCTACACGTCGAGGGTCCTGACGAGTTCCACGGCGGTCCCATCCCCAACGACGGCCATGAACGTGAGGGCGAGTATAAGGCCCGTACGCGGACTCACCGCGGCCAAGCCCCCAACTTTAGCGGCGAGCGTCTCGATTTCCCCCCTGTTCCCCACGTCGTGGATGAGCTCTCATGGGTGCGCTTCACCATCCGGGATGATGAGATCGGAAAGGACGATCTGGCTGCTTGGGCCTGCGTGAGGCTTGATCGGCTGGGACAGGGATATCGCTTTGTTCATCTCATGGACTGCGAGGGACGTGTCACCGAGGGAGTCGTTCTTGTCAAGATTGACAAGAAGCTGGTTTAGTTAATTCATCTCTACCAAGGACCACTTAAGTTGAATAATGATGACATGAGATTCATACTTGGTATTGTCCACAGCTTGTATCCTATGAGGTCAAATTACTCTTCAATGCCTCGTGACTTGTATCTTTAGTGCACATGCTCAAGGGTCTGAAACCATTCATACAAACACGAAAGCACGCCTGTAGAAGTTGACTTGGGACCATGAGTTGTGCTTCAATCCAATCCATGCTGCCATGTCAGACTGGGATCTCCTAATCAAAAACAAGGAGAACGCAGAGCTGGCTAGGCTGCAACGATGGTCTATTTCACTCACGAGCTTTCACAGTTGGTATCAATTTAGAACTCATTTCAAGAAAACACCATCCATGGCGTTGGACGGACTCAATTCTTCATTATCGATACATATAAAAAACGCCAGATTAGTTTCATATTAAACCATGCCGACACGCCAGCAATTAGTAGTCGTCGTCATTGTTCTTGTTGCCCTTGATCTTGTTTCCGATAAAGTCACCAGCCTTGTCCTTGATCTTGTCCACAAAGGTGTTGCTCTCGTCGTCGTCGTTGCGCTTGGAGCTGCCGTAGCCGCCAGAGCTGGTTCCGTACGAGTCGCTCTCGTTCTTGTTGCTGGAGCCGTAGCCGCCAGACGACGTCTTGGAGCCGTAAGAGTCGTCGTTGTCACGGCCGGAAGAGCCATAGGTGTTTCCACTGGAGCCGTACGAGTCGTTGTCCTTGTTGCTGGAACCATAGCCGCCCGAAGAAGACTTGGATCCGTACGAGTCGTCGTTGTCACGGCCAGAAGACCCGTAGGTGTTTCCGCTGGAACCATACGAGTCATTGTCGTCCTTGTCCTTGCGGCTGGAGCCGTAGGAGTCATCGTTGTCTCGGCCGGATGAGCCGTAGGTGTTGCCGCTGGAGCCGTAGCTGGAGCTCTTGTTCTCGTCCCGGTTAGAGGATCCCTGGGTAATGATTAGCTCGAGAACACATCAAAGTCAGAGTCTTTGAGCATACATAGCTGTTGTCGTTGTCGCGTCCGCTGGATCCATAGCCACCCGAGGAAGACTTGGTGCCGTAGCTGTCGTCATTGTCACGGCTGGAGCCGTACGAGGACTTCTTGTTGTCGTCGTCATCGTCACGGCGGGAAGAGCCCTGGTGAAAGTTAGTTAGCTGTTTATTGGAATGAGAGTGGCCAAGACATACGTAGGTGTCGTTGCCTCCACCGTAGCTGGAGCTGGTGTTGTCACGGCCAGACGAGCCCTGATGCAGGTGTTAGTCTCAGAATCATCTTGGTGGAAGAAATATCAACATACGTAGCTGTCGTTGTTGCCACTGCCGTAGCTGGAGCTCTCGTTGCGTCGGTTGGAGGAGCCCTACTCGAGGGTCAGTTTCATCACCTTGTGAGTGAGAGAGTATGGAGCCATACGTAGCTATCGTTGTCGTTGTCGTTGTCACGGCGAGAAGAGCCCTAGAAAAGTCTTAGCTTGAGGCTACTCTGATTAGAGTGAGTGGTCACTTACGTAGCTGTCGTTGTTTCCGGAGCCGTAGGAGCTCTCGTTTCGGTTGGACGAGCCCTGAACAGCCTGTTAGCTTGAGAAGCTCAAGTGAAAGCGAGTGGATGAACGTACGTAGCTGTCGTTGTCGTTTCCGCCGTAAGACATTGTGATGGATGATGACTGATACGAGTTTGATAGTCAAGGAAGTGATGCGAGTGAATGATCGAAAAGGTTAAGCTGGCAGTGAGGGGACAGCTTCTATTTAATACCTACACAGAGAAGCTCCCTCTCAAGCTGGGCTCCAGCTGCTGCCCCTCCAGCTCGGTCCCGTTGTCATGTGGATCATGGTCTCCCGTACCAACAGAGAGAGCCGCCTCCCCTCCCCCACCACTGGCCCCTCGGGAGATGACGTGCCACTGTTCCATTGTGGCATGGGCTGTGACAATCCTGCCATGGAGCAGAAGCTTGTCGAGCGGGCGCGGCTAGCAAGACATGCTAGCACACGGAGGAGGCTTGGACGGGGTCCCCGACTGAGGGAGGGAGACAAGGCCCCTTGCCAAGATGGGACCCCACGTCTCCCTGCGTGAGCATCAGAGGAAGCAAGACGTGCCTCGATTGTCGTTTCTTTTGCTCTCGTCAAGATGATGCTCTCAGCCAACCATCACCCGAGTGTCCCACACGACCGCGCGTTTACTGCCATCTCTGGGCGGTACCGTCATTGTACCTCAGACCATGAGTGCCTTGATGGATGGATGAATGGATGAATGGTCCCTTGAACGGCCCCTCCACCCCTCATTGAAAAAGGGGAGCCAGAAACCTGTTGTTGCAAAGGAGTACATGGCAACCAAGTGTCACGATCCCACAATCCGAGGTTCCTTGGCATCAATTGGTTCGATCGCGACATCTGAGGCTTGTTTCGACCTGTCTCGCGACAAGCTTCCCCCGTGTCGTCATGCCTGGGCTGCTTGTCATGGTTCGGCTTGAGCACATCACATCTCAGAGCTTTCCACAGCGGGGTAACCAGTTCACCGATCGACCTGAGAGGCGCATTAGTCGTGATCTACTGACGACGCTAGACCTGAAAGATGCCAAGGATGGGCCCAGGCGGCCCAGCTTGACAGGGTCCAAATCAGGTCCCGGAACCTGGACGAGCTGATATGGAGCTCCATGGACTGTGGCTGTGCCTGGTCTGGCAGGTCGTGGGAGCGACTATAGAATGCCGGCCGGGAAACTGTCATTTTGACTGATGAGTATAGGTGTTCACAAGTTGCTGAGAGAACCCTGAAGGGCTGAACTGAATGAAGTGAGTGCAACCATCCATCGTGGCCGTGGCCGTAGACTTTGTCGGACAACATCCACCACCACGCACTTGTGGAGTCCCGACGATAATGACACCGGAGCCAAAGAACAGGATGGCCAATGTCTGTCTTGTCTGCATGGGATGGGACCGGAATCTTGTTCTACCCAAGCATCGAATCGCATCGCAGAGTGACGTGCGACCCACGCCATTATCCAGCCGTGTCTGAGATGGTGATTGAATTGGGTCTAGCAACCCTCCGTGTCTTGACTCCCCGCTCATATTGCAGAGAAGCTGGCCGTGACCTTGATTAGCATCCCCGCTTCAACCGAGGACCCTTGGGTCTTGGCTGTTGACCGTTTCAATTGCTTGTTTCTGTAGCTCGTTTCCTTGGTCTCGATGAACGCGTTCCCAGATTTCCTTTGTATATTAATGTCGTGCCAACTTAACTGCCGGGAATGACTTCCATTCTCTGCTTCTGTTCCGACTTGCAACCGTATTGCTTCGACCAACGATCATTGTCCAGCCCAACACCGACGTTTCTCGGACCACACCAGACATGCCGAACCCAAGCCGGACTTACCTCTAGGCGGGTAGCCCGTGTCCTGTCCGGTCCCCATCTCTCTGCACGTGTGATGAATGCTCATCGATTGAGCAAATAGTCATTCACCGGCGCTCCCGGACTCCCAGAACAGAACAAGATGCATCCAACTCTTCCATCCATCTCGATCTACCAGATCCTGCACAGCCTGCCGAGCCTAGAACCCGACCAGAAATGACACAAGTGCATAAGGCTCACGGAAAGGTGTCCGTCTGCCCGAGTCCAGCGACACCAAAACGCAGGTCTTGGTCTTCAGGTGTGACCGGACAACCACGACTGGTTCAGCCAAGTTGTGACCTCTCAGCTTTCCCAGTGTCGTCACTCGAGACGCAATAGCAGCCACAAACAACTGCCGGTGAGACGTTGCTCTCTAGATGAAACCCGTGACATGTTGCGGCCAAGTCGATCTTTTACACTGCAAGGCTTGAGGGAACACCGGCCATGGTGATCTGTCAAGAATGTGAGACAGAACCACACACTCGGCGCTTATCCGCGCTCGTTGCTCAAGCCTTACAACTTGCTCGATCTTTCAGGGCCGGCAAGGGCACCGCTCATCATGGCCGGCTCCGTCTTGCCGGCAAGGATGAGCTCTCGACCTCCCTGAGTCCCCCACCAAGCTACTCCAATAGCTGCTCGCTCCACATCTAATTCTCCGCTCACGAGGATCTCCAAGAACCGCTGCTTCACAGGCTCTCGTAGTGTGGGATCCGAAATCTCATTCATTGCTTGAGCAGTAACCGTAAACCACTCCTCCACAAGAGGAAGGGGAAGGTATGGTAGAGAGTCAACCAGAGCCAATACAAGTGAACTCTGCTGAGATAGAGGTTCTTCCTGTGACTCCTCCATAGCCGCTCGCGATACAACATCCGCCGTTGGAGGGAGAGGGCTGGTTGACGCTGTTGTGATAAAGGATCGAAGCATCTCAAGCAAAGTCTCTGAGAGATGCGGCTCCATGTCGGCAATAGGGAAGGGGGGTGATACAATTTGCATCACAGTCTTGAAGGCCACTCTGAACTGACGCGAGGAAATGTGTCGTGGGAAAGAATCGAATAGCTTGGCGATGTAGAATGGTGTGAGCTCGATAGTGAGAGGACTGTGCTGAGGGCAAGAGATGGTCGAGAGGATGGCACTGTGAGCAGACTCAAACAGTTGCACCATGGACTGTGTTGTCGGTCCTTCATGGGAGATATATGCGATTGCCGGCTTGATGATAAGAGCATCGCATGCGTCTGTCGATAGAGTGAGGGGGAGATGCTCAGATAGGTTCAGGTAGAACAGATCCAATGTTCTCTGCAGATATGTAGTTTCTGTCGAGGCGTTCTCTTCCGGTCGAGTCTCTTGGAGAAACATGTAACACGCAGACGCGCTCCGAGAGATAGAGTCGATCGACGTGAGGTATGTAAAGTTGTATACTTGGAAAGCGTTGTTGCCGTTCCTTGAAGAGATAAAGAATATGTTGCGCAGAATGTGCAGTGATTTGGTTGCAATGACGGGAGCCGCCACATCGTTCAGCATGAGGGGATCAAGAAGACTTCGTGAAACAATCGCTTGAAGGATAGCAACTGTTCCAAACATGAGCTTCCTCATGAGGTTCCAGAGGACCGACCACGTGCTTGTCAGAGTCTCCTGTGTAAGCACGTTGCCCTCTAGTGCTGGGTCTATGTCGCTCAGTCGGTTCGTTCGCCAGATCTTCAAGACCTTACTGGTAAAGGCAAGGAGGCCGTCCTGAGCAGCGAGGACGGCAGCAGTGTCAGTTGCGCGCTGGATAGCGAAACCGGCAAGCTTGGCCAATGGACCCATGTTGGCCAAGGTGGGACGCCTATCCAATTCTTGGATATGGCGGAACGAAGGCGTCGTTGGCGGCCAGGCAAGCAGATGGGCTGGGGATTCCACAATCTCGGTGCTGATTGGGATGAGGAACTCGCCATCGGCAAAGCCCTCCTCAGCAGTTACAGCCCACACAATGAGAGGCAGCATGGCATTGCAGTTGATGAGACTCTTGTGGAAGTCGGAAAGCAATGGAAAGGCAAAGTTGAGAGCCATAACAACCGATGCGCCCGCCACAGGACCGTCCTCCTCGCGGGTATCAAGCGCCAGGTTCGCCGCCATCACTACTGCCTCTTCAAGTGTATTCCTCAAGCTGCGCGACAAGGATTGGCGGTTATTAGACTCCATGCCCATGAGCACACCTGTGAGGACGAGAAGATGCTGCCACCTCCTCGATCGATCGTCCGCGCCCTTCACAACAGCCCTTGTCCACTCCTCGCATCGCAGTCCGCCGCCTTCGTGAGGCTCGTTGCGCTTCGTCTTTGCGATCTCATAGTTGTGGATGCGCGCGGCAGCAGTGTTGTAGATGCTGATTATTCGGGTAGAGGTTCGAAGTCCGCCAGGCTGGAACCAGATCGCTGGTGCCGTAAGGAGATGCGATGTCAGGAGGCCGAGGTTTAGAGGGTTTGTAAGCTCGGTGAGGAGGTGCGTCGTCGACCCGATGATCTGCTCCGTCTTGGCGGCATCGTGGACGTCTTGATAGTGTTGCAAGACAGTTCTGAGGAGTCTATCAGAAGACATGGCGATTCATCCGTGTCCGTGGATATTGGGACAAGTTTGAGGTGGTGAACAAGTTGAAGTTGCTTCTTGTCGCGTTGCGCTCGGCGCGCAGGCCGATTTCACGAGCTTTTGCCGAGGCCTGGGGATGACGTTCCGGGGAAGGTGCATAGGTCCCGTCCAGCACGGGCATCCATCCCTGTCCTAATGGATCCCCTGTCGCCGCCAATTCAACCACCCCATTAATTAATCGACCGTAGCAACAGCGCGAGACTGTATCAGCACAGCGATACCATTCTGCAGCTTGCACTATGGCACGGTAAGTCGCATCTGAACCTCGTCGCGACATCGGAGAGCTAACATGGACGATGTAGATGGCGCTTCCGAACGAACCTCCCAAGGATTACCAGACGCCGGGCTTCCCGTCCCTGAATATCCAGACCCTTTATGACACCACCAACGATAAACGATTCACCCTTTACTATATCTTGGATGTTTGGCGGTTCACTCTACTATGGACAATCATCATTTACGCATGCTTCCACTTGGCTGCAGTTCTGATTGCCATGTTCAACCATGGCTGGAAGAAGTCATCGTGGAAGTATCTATGGGCGGTTCCCATCGTATACCTCGTCATGGCAGGACTTGAAGCTGTCATGGCAGGGAGCATTGTAGGCTTGGTGTAAGTCCTCTGGAATCCATGATACGCCTAGTTGCTAACGTGACTCCAGGCTGGGCGCTGTCTACTCTGCTGGATACTACGAGATGAATACTTGGATCCCATGCACCTGGGGATTCATCAACGTTCTGGTCCTCATTATCTCATCTTTCTCGATACAAGGCGGACTTTAGCAGGGAATGTCGACTATCTGATATCTTTCCTTGGACTGGACACCAGTTCTCATGTCTTGCGTGCTTGTTGCAGTCTTGGATGTAGACGCGGCCAGCTGAAATGTATTCGGGGCTTGGCCGCCTCATGAACCAGGAGATCTCACGCGGATGAGGACTTGGATCAAAAGGCTCCTTGAGCCGGGTAATTTCTTTAGTTGCCATGATTACGCTCAAGCAGTTGGAAACAATGCTTCTCTACCTGTCTCTGACACTCTCAAGGCCTAGAGAGCTTCAAATTGTGAAGTGTGGCTGCAGTAAAGAGAGACGTTTCACTAGAACAAAGCTTCTCTATGATGGGATGGACTGTTAACGACTCAGATGCAACCAACTGATGAAGCTATCACGATCATGATGTTGATGGCTTCTAAGAATGCGAGCCCGGATACCGCCCCATTACCGTAATATTTAATACTCTTAATTCTCACCTTGGATAGTTATAGGGGGCTCGATGACTGATTCAACAACTGCGTGGGTTGCTCCAGTTATGAAACAAATACAAACGATGATGCCCATATCATCCCAGGCTGGGATTATTCGGTTCTCTCATGCTCAGCACCAAAGCAAAGACCCCTAAAGTCTCTTCCAATTAGAACCCCTTGGCTATGCAGAGGATACATTCAAGTAGGCTTTTATGTATATAGGTCGGCTTTGTTTGTGCTCTGGCGCAAGTACCTCTACCCATCATGCAGTGCTTCCAGCCCCCAAGCGCCCAAATCCCCTAAAGGGGAAGATGCTGCGACTTTGGAAGACAACCCAACAGCAACTGCAGCTCAAAAGGATTTGAATCTTCCTGATATGAACATATTCTGCGATGAGCGTCTTTTACTCAATATTTCCAACGCCATGAGCGCCTATATATGTTTAGGGCTTATTCCACTCGACAGGCGGACAAACCCCCTTAGCCCCAAGGCGTGTCCAGGTGGGTCCCATCCATCCCTCCATAATCGCAAAAGCTCTGGCCAGCACAGCTTCGTTCGTATTGTTCTCTGCATCACAATCAAGACCCCAAGACGCCGCGCGGGGGGGATAATGGCAAACCAGCAGTCGCGGTAACCAACTGGTCTTATCCATACGTTCCTTTTTAATCCAGGCAGGGCGCCTTTTGTCCTGCCTTCTTCTTCTCCAGCGCTTTCTTGCTGGTTTTCTTCAATCCTTGTTTGGCCTTCACCCCTTTCACTTTGACCCTTGAGAGTGATACGTGCGATATCATACCTCAGGGACGAGTGCTCTTCAAATATATTTTCTTCTATCACGGAAATATTCATGCAGACATACAAGCTCTTTATTGATCGTCATCACAAAATGTCTGAAAACACCCATCCTGGCGGCCGCGCCGCCGCCAACTTCGACCCCACGCCTTCACATCACGAGGCATCACCCACCTACAGCGAGGACTTCTCAGATGACATGGATTCCCGACCACCCCTCAGCGACATCATCGCCTTGAAGCCATTCTTTGCCGGCCAGCCCAAGTCGCTCTCCGGCATCGCCATCAGGGCCTTTTGCCTGGGCATCTCCCTCGCTTTGAGTGCCGTCGCCGTTGCGGCCATCTTGTGCTTCTCGTCCAGCCCTGTCTGGCGAGTGCCCTTCTTCCTCTTTGCCCTCTCGGCATTTCACTTTCTGGAATTCTGGACTACGGCTGAGCGCAATACTCTGGTGGCCAGCATCGACAGCTTTCTCCTGACTGCCAACTGGCCACTATACGCCATCGCTCACTCTGCAGCCTTCATCGAGTGTGCTCTTGTCAACCTCATTTTCCCCGATCGCCACTGGGCACCCTTTGGAACTGGACCGTTGTTCCTTGGAGCTGGACTTGTCATGGTTTTGGTTGGACAAGTCGTACGGTCAATGGCTATGCTTGAGGCTGGCGTCAGCTTCAACCACCATGTTCAGAACCGAAAAAAAGATTCCCACGAGCTGGTTACTACCGGGATCTACTCCCTGTTTCGACATCCAAGCTACTTTGGCTTCTTCTACTGGGGGCTGGGGACGCAGCTTGTGCTGGGCAATGTTGTTTGCTTCTTTGCCTACGCGTACGTACTGTGGAAATTCTTCAGCAGCAGGATAAGGCACGAGGAGAACAAACTGATCGAGTTCTTTGGGGACGACTATGTCCAATATCGAAAGAGGGTCGGCACTAGGATGCCATTCATCAGGTAGCTGCATATGGAGAATGTATAATAGGCAGGATCTAATCAGGGTCTGGCAAGGAGGTAGATACATGATGAATTGCATGTTGATGCGAAATCGATTAATCATCTGTATAGCTCAACTCCAGGACTCTTAACACAACATCAGTAAAATGAGGTTTACGCCCCAACCCAGTAAAACACTCCTATCTGGCCGCTGCTGGCGACATTTGTTTGCTCACACTTCCGTACTTTGCTTGCCATGCGTAAAAGTACATCAAAGCCGCAAAAGGCTGTCCAAACATAGTAAATGATACCCAAAAGGTGATGTTTCCAATCACCCTTCCAGTGTGACCGAGCTTCATCTTTTCGAGAGGCTTGGTAAGGGCAATGAGCGGAAGCTGGAGGAACATGCCCATGAATGCAACACCTGCGAAAGTTAGTCCATGTCAACGAGCACTCGAGGTGTTTCGCTTACCGATGATGTTATGAGTAGGAACACCAACAAGGATCTCATGCAAAACTGCAGAGACAAAGAAGACGGAAAAGCTGGCTGCCTGCGGGCTCCAACCACGTCCAATCATAGGCATGTAGACGTGACGCTTGAAATACGTGTAGACAGGCTTGTTCCATGTTCGCCAGTAGGCTCCAAGACTCTCACTGTTCCACCAGTCATCATAGAACGACCTATCGCCGAACCTCAGGATCTCGGCGAGGGCATTCAGGAAGGACTGGAAGAGGGCGAAAAAGCCAGCCAGCCAGATAACGAGGGAGATTGTTGACAGTTTCATCAACCGCTCAAGGATAGACATGATGTCGAGAGATGCGATCTTGTCAAGCGAGTTCTGAAGAACAGGTGCGGCGTACTGAGCGCTGGCAACCCAGATGAAGACACTGAGACAGAAGATCTCTCCAAGTCGCTTGGCCACGAATACCCATCTGATCTTGTCCGTGCGAGGATAGACAGGCTGATAGACGAGAGTAGGCGCCCACCAGAAGTAGATCAGATTGCCCACTGTAATGTTCTTAGGGTATGGGCATTGTTCGTACAGCTCGGGGACCAGCTCGCGCTCGCCCTCCACAGGGTGCAGGTAGGCGTGTCGCAAGTCACGGTTGGTAAAAGCATACGAAGCCGTCTTGAGCCAGACGATAACGGCGTGCATCTCGGTCAGTGTACCAATCAAGGGGTGGTGAATCTTGAAGTAGACAACCCAGGTGGTGAGGACGAGAGCAAGGGTGATATTGACAGCATGAGCCCATGCCACCATGACCCAGGTCTTGTGGAACTTCTTGCGCTCCTGTTCCGAGGGACCACCAGCAGGGCCTTCTTTAACATGCTTAATGGATCCTCGAGCCTGCTGGGCGGCAGCCAGCTCAATTAGATAGGCGGCGAGGAGATGGCATGGGATCAAGAAGTAGAGGAGGAGTCCCATGAAGACATCTTGTCGGCTGTAGTCGTGACATCTCAGACAAATCAAAACTCCATACTAATTGATCATGTCAGCGGCACGTTCACCACCAAGATAGACCTCTAGAGTAAGCGCAGCAAGACCATACCTTTTGAATATTCTCAATCATCAATCGCAAGTTTCCAACCACTGCCAAGTGTCAATGACGAAGCTCAATGCCAACGGTCGAAGAGGGGCACTGCGACCTACCCAACACGATCACCATCAAGTTGCGGAAGCCGAGGAAGCTGGGTGTCGCATCGGAATCGTAGCTCAGACACGAAGGCCTCGTCTTGGAGTGCACAGCAACAACATGTCTGTACTTCTGTCCAGCCTTCTTGGGAGACCCGGTAGTGGCCCCTCCGTTGGTGCGGTTCTGCGGTTCGCGCTGAGTGACGTCGTGGCCGCTGCGCCGGGAGACTGAGCTCGGAGCCGAGCCATTGGATGTTTCTACGCTCGTCGCTGTGGCCGAATTCATCGTCAATGAGTTATGCCGCGACGGCGGACTGGTCGAGAGACGTGAGGTCGCAAGAGAGGAATCAGGGACAGAGAGCGCTTCGTTGATAACCGGGACAAAAATGATGAGCTCGAGCTCGTCGACGCAAAGTTATATGGGTGGCGGCGACTGTTGCAAGGTTGATAGGAGATCTGACGCCACGGTTCCAGTGGGTGAACCAGCCAGAGCTGCACAAGGGAGCACGTCAGCAAAGGGTGACGCTGGGGGGCAAGCAAGGCAATATGAGGTTATTAGAGTAAGGAATGTCGAGAATCGGATGACAATATCGAGCCGAGAGAAAGGAGGGGAGGCAAATTCCAGGTTTCGCAAGCCCCCGAATTGAGTCCGCAGTCCGGGTGGTTGACTTTTTGTTGCATCGAGCTTCGCCATGACCTCTGACCAACTCCAGGGCATCCTATCATGGATGGACGGTCGGGTTCATAGCGTTTGGCGGGCCTCTTGGCGGGGCTGCCCGGGGGCCTTTTTGGCAGTCGACAGGAGCTTCTCACAGGGAGGCTAAAGGCAAGCAACGCTAGGGATCCGGGAGCATCCCACCCCTGGCCAACATCCAGTCAAGAACAGCGCCAACACGGGCACTGCTCATGGTCTTGGGCGGTTGAGTGGGACCATGAACCCCCTTGGAACCTCTGGACCTGTGGCGTTGCAGGGGACTGAGACGGTACTCGGGGTGAGCAAACAGTATCTTGCCCGTTGGCGTCAAAGCATGTGAAAGCGAAAGCGAGTGCGGTTGTATTGCATCCTGCTGGTGAGTTGATTGCGGGACATCGGAGCTCGGGTAGAAGCCGTTTACTCCGACCCCAACAACTTTGGGGTACGAGATAAATTTGGAGCTCTGTTTGGAGGATCCCCGATCTCATCAGATCTACCGTTGAGGATCTAAATCGAAAGGGTGGGAGCTAGGTATCTAAGGTAGGTGCCTCGTGGAGGCCATGGCGACAGTCTCTCATGATGGCTGAGTAATCCGAGCGCGAGGTCACCTGACCGTACCAGGATCATGTCGGTTAATCCTCGTCTGAATTGGAGCTTTGGCCCTGGCTTAGAACTTCACTTGAGAGCTCACGCGCCTCTGGAGAACAGTATCTGGCTTTGTCTTTAATTGGCTTGCGCATCTCATCACTCAACTGTATCCTGTCGATATCTTCAAATCTCTCTTTCGAACGATATTCGATTCATTCAATCTCACACATAAACTCGAATAGCTGCATTGTGGCCCTTTTCGGCTTTTCAAGACCCACCCAAACCGACGCGCTTCTCACAAAGCTACTGTGGATGCTTGTGCTTTGAGTTGTGAATAGTCACGATGGCCTACGAGCCTCGTGGTGATCGTGGTGATCATGGTGACCGGGGTGGTGCTCAGGGACAGGACGGTTTTGTCAAAGTTCGGGGTCGACGTGAGTGCCCTTATTGTTTCCTTGAATTCCGACAGTGATGCTTCACTGTTCACTCAATAGTCAAGTTGGCTATTGTTCCTTGCCAGTGCCAGGATGAAGTGAGAAAGTTCCAATATCCATCCACCCCGCCTATTCATTTTCCTAATTCAGCATGTCATTTATTTGCTTGCCACTAAGATGTATACTGCATTGGGATGAATGGCTTGGTTCTATTGTGCATTGAGTATCATTGCAATATACCAGATCTGGCGTTCCCCAATGTTTCCTCGATTTATCATGTTTGCTCTTCCTCTCTTTTCCCCTTGACCTCGACAAACAAACATCTTGTCATCGCAAACGTTCAAGTTGGGCATCAAACATCGGATCATCACGCCCACGATGGACGACACGAGAGACAAGAACAAAGCGGTGTTGTTCGCATATCTAACCGCTAGACCTTCAGGACCGGTGACTGACTACGGCGCAACCATCACTCATTGGCAACATGATCGCGTCCCGAACTACAGAGGAGGCTATGCCGGCGAGGCCGAACGACCCAGCGCCAGCTATATCGTCGATGTAAGTTCGGCCTTCCCTTAGATGATCAAACTGGCACTGACTAAGATGATATAGATGCTCCCCCCTGCAGCTCGAGTTACCAGAGCTGGCGATAGCATTCCAATCAAGCATCTCCACTCATCGCTGAACAAAATCAAGCACCCTATCAATGTGGTTCGCTGGACACCAGAGGGTCGCAGACTGTTGACGGCCTCTACTAGTGGCGAGTTCACCTTGTGGAACGGAACGGGCTTCAACTTTGAAACCATCATGCAGGCCCACGACTCGGCTATCCGTGCTCTTGAATACTCGCACAGCGACGATTGGCTCATCTCGGCCGACCATGACGGAGTCATCAAGTACTGGCAGCCAAACTTCAACAACGTTCAGAGCATCAACGCTCACACCGACCCCATTCGAGACCTCGCCTACAGCCCCAACGACTCCAAGTTTGTCACTGCCAGTGACGACTCTACCCTCAAGATCTTCGACTTTGCCATGGGTCAAATGGAATCCAAGCTCGAGGGTCACGGTTGGGATGCGAAGAGTGTCGATTGGCATCCTACCAAGGGCTTGCTTGTTTCTGGTTCCAAGGATCACTTGGTCAAGCTGTGGGATCCTCGCACCAGTCGCTGCCTCACGACTCTCCATGGCCACAAGAGTACCATCACCAAGGTTGTTTTTGAAAAGGTTCGCGGCGCTTGCCTGGCAACTTCTGCCCGAGACCAGACTGCCCGAGTTTTCGATCTCCGCATGATGCGCGACATCTGCCTCCTGAAGGGCCATGAGAAGGACATTTCCACTCTCACCTGGCATCCCATCCACCCCAACTTCCTCAGCACTGGTGGTATGGATGGTTCACTCTTCCACTACCTCTTGGACTCACCCAACCCACCCCCTGGCCAGCCTTTCACCGTTGCGCCTTACGACAGCCCAGACCCAACTTCAGTTCCTGCTCAGTCCGTTTGGCCCATGCACAAGGTCCCCTTTGCTCATGACTACGCCATCTGGTCTCTGGATTGGCATCCTCTCGGTCACATTCTTGCTTCAGGCTCCAACGACCGTATTACGCGATTCTGGAGCCGTGCTCGACCAGGTGATACCGAAGTCTTTCAGGATCGCTACCACATCGGCGAGGCGGCTGCCGAGGCTCAGGGAACCTGGGACCGCCGCGGCAACCGACGTCAGCGACAGGAGGAAGAACAGCAGGAGATGGAAGACGAGATGGATGCTTTGGTCGACCAAGATGCTCCCAAGCTTGCAGTCCCTGGGCTTCCCGGAATTCCTGGTCTTCCTCTTGGTGGAGGAGTGCCTGGTCTTGGATCAGCTGTCCCACCACCTCCTATTCCTGGTGTTGGCGCAGGCTCAGGTGCCCCCCCTCCTCCTCTGCCCTTCCCCCTGCCAGGCCTCAACGGAGCTCCCCCACCTCCTCTGCCTGGTCTTGATCCCAACAACCCTCCTGATCCCGCCCAGCTCATCGAGCTCATGAAGAAGGCCGGCGTCCCTCTGCCTCCCCCTGGAGCTCTGCCACCCGGTCTCATTCCAGGAGTCATTCCACCTCCTGGCAGCATGCCTCCCCCGCCTGGCAACTTTCCTCTCCCAGTGCCACCTCCACCTCTGCCTGGCTTGGATGCCGACCTCAAGGGCGACAACCGACGACGGGCTCCATTGCCAAGCCAGGAAGAGAGCCTGCGACAGGAGCAGCGCCAAGGCAAGTACACACGGGCGAGGTAGATGTGAGGGAATTCGTTTTTCGATGTCGACAGGTCGATACCCTTTGGCGTTGGTGGTAGCATGAAAAGCATGGAATGGCTGCTGTAATCGAGCTCAAGAGCAGCCATAATCTTCGGGGGTAGAATGGCACATTATCAATCATGAAATCATTTCCTTGTTTTCATTTGGCGTGACTACATGTAGTATTGCTCTTGGTTTTCAACTTAGAGCATGCCATAGTAAATGTCCAAAGCTCTACAAGCAGCAGTTCATTAAACATGGTTGCTTGGGGCTCCATAGATGCTTAAAATCCACTCCCGTCCTGGTCATTCCTCTCATGCCTCATTTTTATTTCCTAGTATACAACACAAGCTGTGCAATGTGTAACCTATTTCTTGGGGAATGCCTTTTGCTTGTCGGCAAAGTCGCGGATCACCAGGGCACAGGTGGTGTCAGTACACAGACGGCGTCTCCGCTGAGGAGGCAGCTTTGTAGCAAACTCGAGACCACTGGCACGCTCGACAGCCTCGAGGGGAACCTCGAAGTCGGTGATGGGCTTAGAGTTGGCGATAGGAGCGTTGGGGAGGACAAAGGCGCCCAGGGCAACGTTTCCACCAACGCGGCCGTCCTCAGCAAAGATGACCTTGTAGAAGTGGGTGGGCACGGCGACTGAGGGAGGGCTTCCAATCATCTCGTACTTGACGTACCACTTGCCATCAGCCTCCTTCTTGGGCAGATAGAGAGGACCAGTGACAATGCGGACCGAGGGGTACTTGACGGTCAGGCGACGACAAAAGTCCTCAAAGTGAGCCCAGTAGTCACGGTTGAAGCCCTCGCCAACCTGGGGGCACATGTTTGTAAGGTAAAAGGTCTCGTCCATGGCCTTTTGCGACCACTTGCAGTCAGCGGCGGGGACCTGGTGGCCGCGGTCGTAGCCACTGCGGAAGTAGTCCTTGAGCCCGGCACGGAACTTTTGCGGCACAGAATCATCCTCGAGGAAGGCACTGTGCTTTCGGTCGCCCTCGCGATGGGCGAGGGACGCGGGGGTGATGTGCTCGACAACCCAGTGAGGGTTTCTTAGCCGGCGGTCGTAGGAGGAGATGAGGGCGGAGCGGTTGCCTACGTCGGCGACGGGGCCGGGGAAGCCATATTCGAAGAGGCCGGCGGGATTGACGAGGGCATTGGGGTCGAGGGGAGCGTTAGGAGGGACGACGGCGGGAGGTCCAAAGATCTGAGAGGCAGGAACAGCACCCGAGGCGGTAGGAGCAGGGAGGGCGGCCATTGAGTTGACGGAGGTTGTCGGGGCCGGGGCGGCGGCAATCTTGGGCTCTTGCTTGCCGCCTCGGAGGGCGTAAACGGCGGCCGTGACGGCGGCGCCGCCTCCCGCACCAAGGCAGGCGATGGTAGCGAGCGTCGTCTTGGACATGACTGCAATGGTATTTGCTCGTGAAGGTGACGGAGGGGAACTAGTCGAATAAAAACGAATACAACAAGTTATAGTCCGTCGCCGGGAGTGAATATCACGAGCAATCACCGCCCAATAGTGTCGAGTGAGGGAACCCCGTGATGGCTTGAAGGAGGGTCACAAGGGTTTCGGTAGATGTCGAGATAGCTCCGGGAGCCGTAGAAATTTTGGGAGCTCGGAACGTGGGGGATGACCGGTGTTTTCCCGCTATCAGATCAGGGTCCTGTTGGAAGCTTGGGGCCCTTGACGTCACTAGGATTCGAGGTGGTATTGGTGAGTAAAATTGGAAATGCTATTCTATTAAAGTTTTGGACTGTGAGAGAGCTGTTTTGGACATGTGTACTCTTGAGCAGACTGATGATTCTATGGTTACACGAAGCCATGGAAAGCTGCCATTATGGGTGTGAAGTAGGGCTCGAAGAGCGGTGACTGTACACTCATGTTCTTGTGCAGCGCTTGTGCAGCCAGTTGTGTGTGCTCCAGATTGTCTGAGGGGTAGGTAGCTAATTAGTTTAAAGCTCATCCGTCTTGTTGGGAGCTGCACATGCAGAGAGACGCCTGTTGTTTCACAGCAGACGCACGATATTAGGTCGAGGGTTAACTTGTTATTACCATCGGCCTGCCGGAGCATGTATAGGGAACAAAAGAGAGTAACTTCAGAAGTGTGGTGTTTTTCGTGATGTGATCAGGAGCAGAAAATGAATGGCCGGATGAGGCTCTCTCGAATCGCCATACCCGGTACATGGTTTAGTTGATGATGACGAAAGGCGGTATCATGATTCGCTGCGCAACCAGCTCGTCTGCAACACCCATGTCCAGCATAAAACGAGGTCAGTATCACAGGTGAATATCGAACACCTTTTGAATCACGACCGTCTACAGTTTTGGTGCGAGGATAAGGGCACAACGAACGGCGATGACTTGGTGCGGGTGGCTCACGCAAATAAAGCTGAACCACTCACGCAGCAGCACCAGAGCAGCTGGCCGCATACCCCCACGGGTCAAAGACATGTTCGTGGAGAAGAGAAGCTCTGGTGTGTTTTTCCCTCTGCTGTCTCACGCGTAGAGGCCGATTATTCGTAAGCCATGGCAGGCAACGGGTGCAGCGGCATCCAATGATGTGCAGACCTCGACGGTGAGAACCTTGAGGGACAGCTCTTGTAAGGCGGCACCGCCTCATGATCCCAGGCTTCAACCCCCATCTTAGAGCCCCTTATTTGGCATCTGGCGGCAAGTGATCACAGAAATGGACTAATAGATAAGGGAGCGTGCTGCCGGTATTTGTGTTGTGTTGTATTGTGCCTCTTTTCTGCAGAGCCAGGGATTTTGAAAATCTCCCGAGAAGGAAGCTCCCCAACCCATCCATGCCGCCTGCCCTGCCTTGTATTGTTCATGCGCCTTAGCTTGTCTTTGCCTTTCGGCCTTTTGCCACTTTCAACCACCAAATCAATCTTGGATTGTTCAACATCCAAATCATCAACATCATATCTTCCTTTGTCCCTTTCAGTTCACTTCTCGTCTTTGTCGGCGCGACTCGAGGTTAAAGGTCTCCGCTCCCACCCTGCGCTAGCCAGCTCCAGAGACTACACCATCCCCAGCTCGCTACGTCAGACTTGAACCTAGATCGACGCCTCTCATACGCTTTCTTCACGTCCCATCACCGCCAGCCACTTTACCACCTGGATCTTCACTTCCAAGCCTCTCCAAACCTATCAACTTTAATGTGACCGCCCTCGTCCAGCTTATACCGAGATCAGAGAGCCGGAGTAAGGCACAGCAAGCGCGACACACAGCAGGACCATGGCCACGACGGTGGTGGCGGACAGCATCGACAATGACACTCGAGGTTGGATTATGTGTGTTGTCAGCGGCATTGGTAAGTCGAATTATACTACTGCTACCTGTCATTTGCTTCATGCGACACTTGCGGCCTCTTCTTGAGGCTGGTTGCGCATCATGCGACTTTGATCTTTTCTGCGCTGTTCTTTGCTGATCCATGATAACATCTAGCCTGCGTTCTCGGTGCTTCCATAGTATGTGTCGACAGCATCGTCCGCCTGTTTCCCGGCAAGAAGAATTTCAGAATCCAGGACAGCAATGTCTTCTTGGCGTGTTCTCTGAGCCTGAGCTTCGGCGTCATGGTATGACTTGCCAAGTCCCCTTGCGCCCTTGATCATGTGCTGACCAATTCGCAGATGTTTTCCGCGCTGTATAGCATGCTACCCGAGTCCAAGGAGTATTTCGAACAGGCAAAATGGTCCAAACAAGCCGCTGGTTTGACCATGATGGCCTGCTTCATCACCGGCTTCATCGGAATCCAGGCTATTTCACGGCTACTCCACCAGTTCATGCCAACTCACGTTGTGGACTGCGATCATACCCATGACAAGGCCGCTAACAAAGACAACGAAGCCTGCCAGCATAGCAGAAGACAGTCGAGGGCAAGTCGTGCCCGTCACCGAATATCCCGACCTTCCTCATCGCATGTCCCCGTCGACAAGTCTCTGACGAGAGTCGCAAATGGACACGACCATGATGCTCCCGTTGAATCCACTCCTCTCCTGGAGTCTGCACGGAACGGCCAAGCCAGGGTCCCTAAGCGACATGCATCTGCCCGTGGGGACGAGATGCAGCAACGTCCCTTCAGTCCTACCTCCGCTAACCAACCCCGACCTCTCAGCAGCAGTACCGAGGCCTTGTCAGAGAGGAGGAAATCCATTCGCGAAGTTCAAAAACGGGTCATGTCCTTTGTACAAGATACCAAGTGCAACTGTGATGAGCTCAACTCTTGCTATGGATACACAGACCCATGTGGTCAGGAGTGTTTCAAGCATTTGGGCAATCGGTCTGGACTTCCTCCTCGGCAACCTCATATCCTTCGTACTACTACTGGATCCTTTCTAGGCCGTGGTCATGACCATCCGCATGACCATCATGATCACCACCACCATTCCCACGTTGAGGACATCGACGAAAGCGAGCCCCTGAGCCCGAGTTTCCGAACAAGCAGGGCCAAATCGCGCGAACCGATTGACCCCAACGCTCCGACTGAGGTTTCCGATCATGACTCCTCGTGCTCATCGATGGAGCAGGATGATGACGTCGAGGCTCAGCATCATCACCACGTGCCGACCAATGCTTTCCTGTCAATTGGTCTGCAGACGTCTATTGCCATTGCGTTGCACAAGTTCCCCGAAGGCTTCATCACCTATGCCACCAACCACGTCAACCCAGCTCTTGGCTTCAATGTCTTCATGGCCCTATTTGTGCACAATATCACGGAAGGGTTTGCCATGTGTTTGCCCCTTTACATGGCTCTCGGCTCCCGCTGGCGTGCCATGGCTTGGTCTGCGTTCCTGGGGGGTCTGTCTCAACCCATCGGCGCGGGTATTGCGGCATTGTGGTTCAAGCTCGCGAGTCGCACAAACATGACACCCAACTCGGTTGCTTACGCGTGTCTATTCGCTGCCACCTCGGGTATCATGGTCAGTGTCGCTCTGCAGTTGTTTGTGGAGAGCCTGAGCCTTAATCACAACCGCAATCTGTGCATCTTGTTTGGCTTCCTGGGTATGGTGCTGCTGGGACTGAGCAATGCTCTAATTGGATCGCATTGAAATTCGGGACAGGATAGGTGACCGCCTATTGTGCATGCCCGCTCGTCGTTTTGCTTCATCAATTCGTTCTTGCCTTTACTTTTCCTTTCTGTCTTGGTTCACTGCATGGTGTTGGGTAACACAGGGCTCAGGCAACTCTTTCAGGCGAAAATATATAGGCTCATTAGGTCTTATAGACGGTCGGTCGTGCATTCATCACTTGCACGTGGGGGCTGGTTCAAACTGAGGAAAATGATTGTATTCTTTTGCGTAACCTGGTCTCGCCGTATTTTGTGACATGTATTCGTTTATCTACATCATGACGGTGTTCTCCAATTCTGAGAGACGCCCGCCGAGGCCTTGGGGCCGGGTATCTAATTACTTTTTGGGAGCCAACTGACTCAACAAACGCCTTGCAATGCATCTCATATACTAGAGAGTGCCGAGGGCTGGATCTATCAAGGGTTCTTGTGTCTGGGGATCGCGGGCCAGGAGGAGAATGTTGGCCTCGTCTTCGGGCCATTCGTCATGGGGAGTGTCATAGTCCATCTGGGCAGCAAAGATGTAATCCTCCTGCGTAGCACCGGGCCAAGCCGGAGTTCCGGGGAAGCTACCAAAGGGTATCGAGTTGGCATCGAACTGGTTATCGGACAGGAACATGGCGGGATCAGCTTGCGATGGTGCGCCATGATAGGCTTCAACGTGCACATCGAGGTCGTGATATCGGATAAAGGCCTCGTTGCACTGAGGGCAGACAATCTTGCGCTCTGCTTGGTTAGCAGCGCCTGACAGTTCATCGATGAGGTCGACTTGTTGGTGAGAAGGCCCAGGCTTAGAAAGCTTAGGTCGTTCTAGGCCGAGATGCTTGTAGCGGATGTGATCTTCAAGGCGAACCTTGGTGCTGAACTTATCGCCGCAGCCTTGGTCGTTCGTCCAGCCCTGTAGCCCTGCGCTGCTGAGATCCACCTCACCGCAGACAAAGCGGAAGCCTTCGTGTGCGGTTCGGATATGGGCGTTGAGATTGGATTTCTTGGTAAACTTCTTTTTGCACTCGGCGTAGGGGCATGCGATCGTCTTCCGGTCCTCGACCGTCTGACCAGAGTGGTACATTTCCACATGCTTCTCCAACTCCCAGCGTGTGCCAGACTTGAAATCGCAGAACAGGCAGTTCTGGTGCTCTTGGCGGATATGGGCCTGGAGAAGCACCTCGGTTGTGAATCCCACACGCTCCTCGGTGCCATTGGGCATCTTCTTGAGTCCACACTCGCCGCACCAAAACTTGGCCTCGCCGTGCTCTCTCTCACGGTGTCGTTTGAGGGTTGCTTTGGAATCAAAGGCTCTTGGACAGCCTTCTTCAGGACATTGGAGCGCTGGTAGGCCTTGGTGATCTTTGCGGACGTGCTTGTTCAGTGTCTCCTTCTTCCTGAAGCTCTGGCCGCAATCTTGACAGCGGAACCTTTCCTCGCCTTCGTGGACGGCCTGGTGACGCTTGAGTCTTGTGCCAGTGACGAAGCTCTTGCCACAACCTTCCTTGGGACAGACATGTTTGCGTTCGAGAGTGTGGACGGCTTTGATGTGTTGCTTTAGATGCTTGTCCTCGATGTAATCCTTGTCACAGCCATGGTATTGGCACTTGAATGGTCGGGAATTGGTGTGGGAGTTGAGGTGGTCTCTTAGTCTGGCAGGTCGATTGAAAGTTTTGGGACAGCCAGGCCATGTGCAAGCAAGGGTTTTGAGATCTGAGGGAAACTTGTGTCTCGGAGTCGTGGCGGCAGTGTTGACTGTCTGAGGCGAATCGGGTTCGTACATTGACGCGGGAGTATGGGCAGTCGTGACATCGTCTTCGGGGTCATCAATGTCTTGATGAAGCTGTTAGTGAATGGAGCTCAAAGACAACTGTACAGAACAGGGAACTCACACAAATCATCTGAATCATCGGAATGAAGCTTCTTGGCTGAAGGCGTCCCAGGCGCCTCTTCGAGGGCACTTCGCTTACTCATGATGCTGGCATTCCGGATCGTCCTTGATGTTGAATTTGGATGGTCATGAAAGTGGCAGAATCGAAATCAATTTAAGGCGGTGAGCTTTAATTTTTTGGTGGGGGACGACCTGCAAGGATCAAGGTGTGCAAGGTGAGCTCGGTGAGCGGAACCAGACCCACTCGCACCCGCGTTGGCGCGCGTCGGAAAAACGCCGGCCGAACTACAATTTCTTTCATCGCCTCTGGACTTTTTTTGCGAGGCTGAACCAGCTGCTTTCAAGATTGCTAGCCAAGGCATTGCGAAGACAATTCTCCATCACGGCACACCTTCAACTACTGAAAACACCAACTGATTATAGACAAGATGTCTGACTTTGGTGATGATGATGTTGGTGGCGCTGGCGGGTAAGTTTACGGTCGTCATCTCATGACGGCGCACGCGATTCTGACAAAGACTGCCAGTGACGAGCCCATGTACGAGGACGAGGAGGTTACCGAGTACTACGACCCCGAGGTTGTCGAAGAGGATGAGGATGGTGAGAACCGACCTCAAGATGGCGAGGATATGGACAATGTTGTTGTTTCTGGCGACCCTTCTGCTGCTGCGAACGCGCTCAAGGGCGGCGAGAAGCTGCTCAAAGACAAGAAGATCCCCGAGGGCGAGCGAACCACGACGCCTTACATGACCAAGTACGAGAGGGCGCGCATCCTCGGAACCCGCGCCCTGCAGATCAGGTTTGCATTCCTCGAGCGCGACGCATCGCGACCCGGATGGCTAACTGTGAGACAGCATGAATGCGCCTGTGCTTGTTGATCTCGAGGGCGAGACGGACCCCCTGCAGATTGCCATCAAGGAGATGCGGGAGAAGAAGATCCCCTTGATCGTGCGACGATACCTTCCGGACGGATAGTAAGTTGCAGACTGAGCTAAGGGACCTGCAAGAGATGGCTAACATGTCCTGCGCAGCTACGAGGACTGGACCTGCGAGGAACTGCTGCAGTGAGCGAGAAAAGGGGGCTGGGACGAACCGAACTGCTCGATTGCCCCGAGGCGTATATACCCGTTTCGTTTCTCCGGCCTTAGACCAACAATCGAGCTGGATCGTTTTTTGTTCCCGCTCTTCTTCTTCTTGGCTTGGCATATCCGAGTAGTGTATCATCCGGAGGTTGATTAATCATGTATAAGCGCGGCGTTTGAGATTGGTTTACACAGGAACTAGACAAAAAAACAGAAAGGGAATCAGTTTTGGTTACACTGTCTGTCTATCACCTGCTTTGCTGCTCATGGTTGTTGTGCATGAGGTGTCGGCCGATGTGACGAGTCACAATTGTACACGGGAAGGGGATTTCTCTGCGACAAAGGATTTGACTTGCACGTCACAAACATAATCCATGGATGTCGATGAAGGGGCATGTCAAGCCAAGACCACGCGAGGATGATGTCAATCTGGGAATGACTCTGGGTGGACGGATTGGATTATCTCGGTGGGCTTGGTGTCGTCTGAAACGACGGCTTGAGACATGACGGCATCCATCCCCAGCCTCTTATTCCGGAACTCTGTCGGGTCATCGGCTTGAAGGGAGAGAGACCTAGAGACCAACAACTCTACAGCAGCATTTGACGGCATATACGTCACACAACCTGTCTTGATTTTAGACCCCCTAGTCAATCAAAACTAGACCACGCCATTTTTGCAGCCGGCCTTCCGGGCTTGTCAACCTCAAACACAGGGTCCGACCCGCGTGTGTGTGGCTTGTTACTGTTTACCCTTTCGTGTGTTGTCATGTACTTTTTTTTTTTTTGTGGCGAGCGAAATGGATCGACCCAACCACGTGCCAAAGACTGCTTTGCTTTCCCAACCTCGGGGAGGTTAGGCCCGAAGCAGGAGAATTGTGACGGTCGTGGCTGTTGAGGGAGAGTGTGTGTATCGTGTTGTGGCCCGTTTGCGGGGAAAACGTAAAGGCACTGTCTGATTGACATGACGTCGGCGGAAATAATTAGCGAACGAGCATCAAGTTTGCTACTAATCACACGAGTCGTGCAGAGTGAAAAATAGTAAAGGATTGGATATTGTTTGTTGCACGTTTATTATAAAAGAGGTTGGTTTGCGCATCCATCGCGTGTTTGTTAAGAGGGTGGTTGGTACACCAAAGGGCCTACTACCAGCCAAACAGAACAACATAACAAACGAGTATAAACTACACAGCAGCAACTATAACTTCCAGCCTCTGCAGAGAACTTGACTCATAATTTTCTACTCTTCATCTCAGACAACAAAGCCTCTTGTTGCAATTTTTTCAATCACCAAATCAAAGACATTTATCCATCATGAAGCTGTCTTCGGTCGCTGTCACAGCCCTCATCTCCGCCTCGGCGGTCTCTGCATCCCCCATCCACAAGCGCGAGGTCGGAGGTGTAAGTCTTTACTCTACCCATATTTATCGGCACCGCTAACCTTTACTTCAGGTCCTCATGTGCACGGGAGCCAACGCAACAGGAACCTGCCACTACGAAGTCTACCAGCTCAAAACGTGTCACCAGCTACCTCCCCCCTTCTACAAAAACATCAAGACCTTTGCCCCAGACGGCGAGAACTTTGCCTGCTACCCTCGCGTATACGACTGCGGAGGCATCTGCAAGAGCCCCACGGGCTGCACATTTGGTAAAGTCGACTTCAACTACGAGCACAAGTACAACATCAGCGCCATCGGGTGGGACACTCTATTCCAGAGCTTTGACTGCTTTGAGAAGCGGAAGCCTGCTGCTCCTAACCCTTGGAGTAGATAAAAGGTCAAAAAAAATGTTGTCATGATTGATGGTTATGGTTCTAATGTGGAGTTTTGACGGTTGTCTTTTCCTGGTACGGCCAAGGGGCCCGGAGGCACGGAGGAAATCACCGGCACAAGGCGTTTTATCTTTGATTGATTGGAAAGTCCGGACACGGAGGAGGTTCCGGATTCCGGGGCGGGGAACAAGGGAGATAATTCGGCATTCGCACTCATCAATGACGGATGGTGGGGTAACCCCGGACTCAATGCCCCTCAACAGCTTCCCCTCTCTTCTTCGGTACTTGGTTCTAGGTTCTTTCTAATAACTACCTATTTCTTCTTTTTCTCACGTCGTGGACTTGTTTTCTTCCTTAAACCAAACTTATATACCCCCTCAAGCTACATCTTGATTCTTCCAATTGCCCGTGTACCTAATACTGTTCGCCCATCATGGCCTTCACCACCAACGCAACCATCACCAGCTTCGGTGGTCGCTTTCTCAAGCTCACTCATCAATCCTCCGTCACGGGAACTCCCATGAACGCGACCCTCTACCTCCCCCCTTCAGCCTCAGCCTCTAAGCCCGCTCCCCTCCTCATCTACCTCTCGGGCCTCACCTGCTCCCCCGACAATGTCACCGAGAAGGGCTTCCTGCACGCCCACGCCTCTAGCCTCGGCCTCGCTCTCCTCTACCCAGACACCTCCCCCCGAGGTCTCGATCTCCCCGGTGAGCACGACTCGTGGGACTTTGGCAGCGCGGCTGGCTTCTACATCGATGCCACCAAGGACCCTTGGAGCAAGAACTACAACATGGAGTCTTACGTCTCCAAGGAGCTGCACGACCTCGTCTTCCAAGAGTTCAAGGAGCTCGACTCCTCTCGCGTGTCCATCTCGGGCCACTCGATGGGTGGCCACGGAGCCTTGACCCTCTTCCTCAAGAACCCGGGCAAGTACAAGAGCGTCAGCGCCTGGGCCCCCATCTCCAACCCTTCCAAGTGTCCCTGGGGTGACAAGGCCTTCTCGGGCTACTTCGGTGACGACAAGGAGGAATGGAAGAAGCACGACGCCACCGAGCTCGTCAAGAGCTGGAAGGGTCACTTCCCCGCTCTGATTGACGTGGTGAGTTTCAAAAAAATCTTGGCAGAATGGGACTCAGACTGATCATCATAGGGTACCGCCGACAACTTTTACAAGGCGGGCCAGCTTCTCCCCGAGAACCTCGAAAAGGCCGTCAAGGAAGCTGGCATTGAAGGTCTCAACGTCCGCTACCGAGATGTTTGTATCCCCCTTTGCTATTTAGATACAATCAACTGACAATTAACAGGGCTACGACCACTCGTACTTCTTCATCTCCACCTTTGGCGAGGACCACGTCAAGCACGCCGCCAAGGCCCTCGGTCTTTTGTGACTACCACGCAGTGCGCTGTAAAACGGTGAAAGACACGAAAGCGACATGTTGAAATATCAGTTAAATTTTTATTTGCGGCGCCGCCTTGGGGTAAAGCCCCTGTGAGCAGGGTGTATATGTACCAGTCGAGACAAGTTCTCGACAGCATCAGCCATGTCTAACTACACCATGGCACGAGATTCTATTTGAGATAAGGGGATATCTTTCTCCCCCTTCAAACTTGATGAATCCAAAAAAGCAAGTGAAACAAACAAACAAAACAATGTTCAGTCCCGTTTCGCTCCACAATCATATGCTCCTTCAAACCCGGTGAATATAGAACCCATCCCATGACTTTACCCCCTTTTCCCCGCGAATCTTGACAACGCCGCCCACATGAATCATGGAAAGCCTCCCAACAACATGGATGGCACCGCAGGTAAATTCGCCGCCAACACAGTACTCCGCCCAAACAAAATCTCCTCCAAAGAATATCTAACTGATCCTCCTGTCCACTTCTGGGTTGCCGAGGCCCTCTTTCTCCAGCTTGGCCCGGAGCTCGGCGTCGAGCTCTCGACGGAGACGCATATAGGCGAGCTTCTCGAAACGGCTCAGACTCTTCCACCAGTGCTGACCGGCCTCATGCTCGGCGATTCGTTCTAAGAGATCGGCCGTCTTGATGCGTACTTCACGGTCTTTGTGGAACAGGCCGAGAGCGAGATAGAAGAGTCCCGCGTGGGACTCGGGTGCAACACTCAGAAGAAGGCAAATCTCGTCGTACGTATGGACGTGTTTGGACACTGTTAGATAAATGTCCCGGCTCTGTGCCGGCGTGAGACGTTGCATGCGCAGACGGTCATGAAGATGGGCAAGGTCAAGGCCCTTCAGTGGCCTGACGGTATAGATCTGAGCCAGATCCTGCACCTTGTCAGCAATGTCCCGGTCTCCTTTAAATGGTCGTCTTACCTGGATGAAGCTGTAATAACTGCGGGTGTTGCGCCATCCTTCGATTCTGGTCACATTACCGGCGAGCTCCTTATGCTTCGCCGTGTCATCTGCCCAAACATAGCCGTGTCCATTCGCACCAGGTGGCATCAAGTCCTGGTCCTCGCCGCCAATGTACAAGGCACTCGCGCCATAAACACTCTCCTCAAACTTGGCCGCGATCTGGGTAAACTTTCCAACCCAATCCCGCCACTTTGCCCTGATCACACGCTCGCCGTGTCTTGCCGCAATACTCCTCAGGATGTCGGCCATGAAGGCATTGTCGCCGGTATAGTCCTGAGTATTGTTGGTTGTACCGCTGGCTACACTGGCAAAAGCAGAGTTTTGCTGCTGAAAGTATAACAAGCCTTCTGTCACTGGAGCAGCATCAATCTTTGAACTGATCTTAACCCGTCCGCTTGGCAGATCACACAAAACGTCCCACCACTCGGGGTGGTGCTCAAAGGTAGGATTTGTCACACCGGCGATGAATCCAGGGACATTGAGCAGGTCGTCAATCTTTGTCAGGTCAGTATAAGGAAAGGCGTGCCGTGTGAATCCGCGCAAGATGCCGCCAGACGCGAGGGCACACGCTGCCAAGACAGCTTCAGCGACCTCTCCTGAAGGCATGTTGTAACCCAGAAAGATGATCCTCTTTTGCGTCAACAAGGCATTAGCCAGAACGATAATGGGGTGCGTGTTGACGCCATTCGTGGTAAGGTGAGGGTGCAGCGTAAATGGCTGAGGTGTCTTCTGGTGTGAATCCGAAAAGTTCTGAATGAGCTTGATGAGTGAGAAGTCACCCACGGTCTCGGGCATGACGGCCACAGGCACTTTGATGGGAATAGGAATGCCCTTGTACATGACCTTGCTCTCAAACTCATGCGTGTCGCGGGGAACCGAGTAAATCGACTGGCCACCTTCGACATGGGCCTTGGTACCGGCCCTCGATATACCAGTCAGCTTCGTCGGGCTCCGAGTCGCATCCAATGACTGGTCTGCCGCCTCTTCGCTCTGGTCTTCGGCTATCCGCATCTGAATCATCTGCTCAAACTTTTCCACAAAGAGATCCTTATTGTCGCTCGCCTGCAGTAGGTGCCGCTCAAGGAGGCTAAGCTTGGGCATCAGGGACAAGTCCATGGCGTTGACCGACTCGTATAGCATGGCCAACGTCTCGGGCACAGGCGCCTTGAAGTACTCTTCCAACGCCAATAACAATAACGGCTAGAGGGCGATCAGCAGGTGTCCACGGCACAAGAAATGTGCGAGAAGGCTACTTGCCTTGTATATATGCAGGAAGGGATGGCGCGTGCAGATGGCCATGGCTTTGACAATGGCTCCTCGCTTTACCGACTTGTCATGCTTGGTGTTGACCAGATTTAGAACATAAATCAGTGGCGGTCCTTCTCCGCCTTCGGGTTCACTATCGGTGGACGAATCGTCGTCATCATCGTCCTCCTCATCGTCCCAGTCATCTTCCAGTAAGTCATCTTCCGCATCCTCGTCCTCCTCGTCTATTATGCCGGCTAGCCTATCGCGCCGCCTCTTTCGTCGTCTCTTCCGTTCTTCCTTGGCTTTGCGCTCCTCGTCCTCTTCCTCCTGACTGGTATCCTTGTGCAAGAAAAAGATGGTCCAATCCTGATTACGGGCGTGGGCTTGGTCGGGCAACATCAGCTCGGCAAGCATGTTCTCGTCTCCAGTGATCGCAACTGGATACTGATGTTCCATAACAGGGCCTCGGTCGATATCAAAGGACGCGACAAGGATATATTCGACATGGTTCTCGGTTGAGCTCCGCGGGTACTGCGAACGAAGCTTTCGTGAGGGTCGTGCGTGGGGGTTCGTGCGACGCGGTGCCGACAGAGACGAGTGCTGCGAGGAGAGACCGGTCGAGGGAGTCTTGGACTGAGAGTTGGGATCTGAAATGCGATCGCCTTCGAGGCCAGGAGGAAGCGGTGACCTCGAGGGAGGCGGCGAGGTTTGTGACATTTGCGATTCCGGGCGAGACGAGTGAAAGGAGGCTAGGGAGGTGCGTCGATTGGGTAACGACCCATTGGAGTAGTTGCTATGGTTATGATTATGGCTGCTGTTGGTGTTGGTGTTGTTACTGACTGTCCTGGTCAGGTACGGCAGCGTCGACTGGAACGAAGCCATGGCGGAAGCGGATGGACAAGTCCGAAGACGGATTCAAGTCCAGCTGGTGTGATGAGACACGACTGTAGAAGTCTTGCCTGCCTCCCTCGTCCTGCGCAAACTCGGTAGCCTCTGTAGGCTCCGGATCGGGCGATGTTGCGCTGCGAGTCCGAGTCGGGAGGGCCGATACGAGTCGACGAGATGCGGTGTAATGCGCAGTGGGATCGACACTTGTTCCACTTTGAGCGTCACTCAGCTCTACTCAAAAGAGCTGGAGCCGAAGACGTGAGTAGCACCACTAGCAGAACAACGGGATTGATTCAGAGAGAGAGCTGCAACCGAGACATGGTCTGCCACAAGTGGGCGCAACCCAGGTGTGGTGCGCAAGATGGGGATGGAGACTTTGCTTTCCAAGGGCGGGACACAGGCTGTCCTAGTGGAAGAGAAAGACAAGTTTAGCCAAGAGCTGAATCCCCATATGACAACCTGCCTAGGTAGCGGTCTTGGCGATATGAAGCAATTGGCACCTGCGATTGAAACCGATTAATTAGTCGTCAAGAGGTCAAAAGGTTGTGGTTCCAGTTCCAGCCTCGACCCTCCAGCCGCCAGCCTTGAAGCCCCTCAATCGCCTAGCGATCAGCCCCTGAAAATGGTTCGGTGGGCTCGAGCTCGGTTTCGCCTTCCCTGGCCTTATTGGATGCGCGACAGTCGCCCCTAGGCTGATCCATCACTGAACTTGAAGGGTTCAGCAGGTCATTGGGCCCCTAGAGAAACACCAGCCAGCCTCCTGAACCACTAAAAGTGTCACCAAGGACGAGCCTCAACCACTGAAAAGTCATAATAGCAAAAGGGTTGGTCCCCTGAATCACGGTATCAGCTGGTGGTTGAAGGCGCTTGGGCCATCTGGCCTCCTCTCCTGTCGGCAAGCCCCTAGCGCCATGCGAGCGCCACGCCTTCCACGCTTTTTCGCACCCCGGATTGGGCTTGGCTCTCTCCCTTGCATGTGGCTTTGATAATTGTCTGTGGCTCGTTCATGGCTGGTGAGTAGTGGGGCATCCTGTTGCATCTCCCCAGGAACCAACCGCCGTGACACCATTTGTTTACTTTGGGAATCAGGCTGCATCTACAACTTCAGTTCCCCTCGAGTGACGAAACCGGTGCACATCGCCATTTTATACCCGCTCCATTACTTGCAACTATACCGAGACCTTCCTTAACCGTCAAACTCACACCAACTTCTATCCTCTTCCTCTCTCCTTCGACCTGTTAATATCCCTTCTCCGCTCGTCCCTCCGGACCCACGTACAAGACAATGGTGCACTTCTATGACGAACAATCCCTGGCAAGCGCGCTCGTTCCTGCTAACACGGCCGTTTCCAGTCTGTACCGGTCACATATAAGCCTTCTCCCTTGGGATATGGCTCTTCTCCCACACGCAGCTCCCCCTTTCGCAGACCCGAGTCCCCTGCTTCGCCCTCTCCTCTCCGGCACATTACTCCCACTGGATCGCCGACCAAGGCTGGACCTTTTGGCGCGACATCACGATTCGCTAGACCGACCACTCCCACGAGCTCCCAGCCCAGCTGGACACCCAAGCCCAAGACCCCAGTAGCAGACGACATGCCTACATCTCCTTCACGAATTGGCGCGTCGCCGCGCACTCCAGTATCAAAGACGCTTGGCAATGGCAATGCGTTGTCTCAGCTGCAACCTACTCAGGTCCGGACACTTCGAGACGGGTTTCAAATCTTGGATCGGGACTGTGATGGAGTTGTCAACCGAGAAGACGTCGCCGATATGCTCAGCCAGCTAGGTAAGAACCAGATTATCGGCCAAGACGACGGGGACTGACGTTATATCAAGGCCTTCCTTCACACCCAGCAGACGTATCAAAATTCTTCCCCCCTTCTGCACCACAGACCATTACTCTTGCAGTATTCCTCAACTCCCTCGCCGATGCCCTCGCAGCTCTCTCGCCCAGTGCCGAGCTCCTGTCCGCCTTCTCAGCGTTTGATGATGACGACAGCGGCCAGGTAGACCTGGCTGAACTGCGCAATGCACTCTTGGAGACGGCGCCCGAACCCGGTCAGAGACCTCTGACGACCAAGGAGGTGGATAAGATCATGAATGGATTCACCGGGCGTCGGGCCTTCAATCGCAACATGAATGCACACATTGGTGCCAAGCGAGGCGAGGTCTTCAAGTACCAGGATTTCGTTCACTCCATCATGGGCTCCAACAATGGTTCAGAAGGCAACTCCAACGAGAACTCTGAGGATTGAGCAGTTCTCTGGTCACGGTGTAAGTTAGGGATTTGGTTTGGAAAAGGTCGATTCGGTTTGGAAACGGTTTGGGCAATGGATTTGGGAATAGCATAAGTCATCGAATGAGAACACGAGTAATTATTGCACCCTTGCGTTGGTCCAGCCTACTGGATCAGACTACACCTAGAAAACCACGCGAGACGCTATCTTGCAGGTTTGCATGGAGTGTATCGAACAGACCCAATGGTTGCCGTCGTTGCGTGAAAGGGCTCTATCTGACCGTGAGCTCTACCTATCATTCACCAAGCAACCTAGAAGTCCTGATATCAATATCTCTATGACAACATCTCCAATTCTCGACGTCCAGCCTCGAAATGCTGCAAGAACCGTAGTCCACTAAAATGTGTCCGAGTTGTCTACAACATCGTGTTTCATACAATGGGAGCTCTTTCAAGATACCTCTCCCCATCTGCAGTATCTCTGTGCATACCTAGGAATCCATAGCGGCTGTTTTCTTCAGACCCCCAACCTGTCTCGGGGTCTCCGGATATACTATACCCTCGAGGTCACTACATGCCGGGCTGTCTCCACGGACTCAAGTTCTCGTACCATTGTCTTAGTTCGCTATAAATGAGTTAAGAGCGCTTCCAAGAGAAGAATTGCCAGTAAAATGGCTGTTGAATGGTTGATTCAGTCTTTCCAATAACTATCATGTGTCTCCCCTGGTTTCAGTACCCCTAATGCCCAGCATGTCGTGCCCCTCGAGTTGATGGCTTCCTCCAGCGATGATGCTGAGGTAGAGATGAGAGACTGAACAACCTTGATGCAAGATTAAGTGTCCTTGACATACAAAAACAAATATTTTTTGAGCGCAAGGAAGAACCTTAAGATCAAAGCAATGTTGTTCTTGTTCTCGCTGGTGAGGGATGTCAACTTAGGTATCACGAAACAAGTGAACGCCATTTTTGGCTACAGAAGGTCTTGAAGCTTCTTACCATAGTTATGGTGTAGTTATCCGTTCCTGCGCTCGCTGGGCAAGCGGTGGAATATGGGCTATCCCATGATGGTATACCACTTCATGTCGGACGAGTTCGCTTTCTCGGCCTGGGAGCGGACAACTCAAAATTGACGAGTAATCAATGGCCTGAATCTTAAAGGCATTCATAACAGCTGCTTGTTTTCATCCTGATTTACGGCATATTGCCATACATACTCGGGAAACTATGCACCAAGTTATCTATAACCAGGACACACAGTTACATGGTCGTCGAGTATTCAGCGAGGCGTAGTCATTGCTAATTCTATGGGGCTAGAATTAAACCTGAATGGGAAACCATGCTACGTTTGTTTCCTGCCGGTTGTTGTATCTGCGAATTGCTAATTTTGCAATCCGCCAACCGTCATAACACACTTGGGAGGTCTCATAGCTTCAAGTGTTCTGAGTGCTTGATGTTTCTAACACTCCTCACTAGTAGAGGAAAGCTACAGGCACCAGCTTGGAAACCACTCTAAGCAAGAGTGACCGTTTTCAAGACCTCCTTCGCGACTGGGTCTGGGGAGTTTCGGCCAATGTCCAAGCAAGGCCCCCTATACTATCCAGTCTTTAGTCATTGAAGATGGTATAAAACAGCCCTACTGCATTGAAACGGCATACTATCTGCCGGTTGGAATTATATATGATGGCCTAGGGAAGGGTTGCTTCTATGTTTATATCTTGGTACGTAGTTCTAGCAAGTAGATTCACAGTAATCGCCCGGACCACCAAATCAACACCGCAACAGAGTCATGAAAAACTGTCTAAGCTTACTTGTATCAGACACATCTACCATTTCGCTCATGTTGGCCACGTGCAGCCCTTGACCAGAATGATTAACCTACGCTGACCCGCTGCCGGTGAAATAACACGATGGACGGTGAAGGTTCAACGCAACATCAAGGAATGCTGTCAGTTGACTCACAACCACGAGCAAGGCAATTGACTGAGATTATGAGGGAATGAAAAATATCAACTACGCACTGATTGTAGGATCCGTTCTGGTCTTGTTGTTTGAGTATCATGGACTCCCAGGGCATGGGGTACTGATGGGGACGAAAGTGCATAGTGAATTTACTTACAGAGGCAATGGAGTATCATGATAAAGAATCACAGCTTATTCCACCCGGTTTGAAACGGTCTTGATAAACACTGACGATTGTGCTTGGGAGATAGGCATTCAGAAACGTTCAGGAGACTAACTTATAGAACAGTCTTTCAAAACACCGCAATTACATGAAATGACACATGTGATTCGCGACAGGTTCATGCCTGACAAGTGACCCTCTTTCACTGTCCTTCGAGTCGGCATTGGCATTGGCGTTGACCTCCACCGTGTTTGGCCCGGACAATTACACCTCGGGCAATGCATGCTCTGCATGAGGCCCATGCCGTTGCTACTGCCGAGTTGTTGGCATTGGTAGAATTTACAACCAACAACCACTCCTATGGGATTTCGGCTGACAACACGGGGCGCGCGGGTCAAGCAGTGACCAGTCATCGAGGAAATGGAACGGGCTGGAGGATGGCTCAGGCTGACACGCGCTGGAAGGTAAGGGAATAGAATCCGGGGGGCCCGGCGGGCTCTTGTGATTTGCAGCCAAGCGAAAGAGACCCTGGCAGGGATCCCGGCCTCCCCGCCCCTCCAACAGAAGAGTTGAAGCCGTTGAAGAAGAGGCAGCAGCCGCTGGGTTCCGGTGGCCGGAGGACGGACGGGTGGGTGGGTGTGTTGGTCCAGGCCGCGGGATCCCGTATTATTTGCTAGCAGGGACCTGAGAGACGGCCCCACTGAACCTTCTAGAATGACGTCCGGCTAAGCGCAACTCCTCGATACAAGCACCTGGTTTACCGCCCGCTTCAATGATGCTTTCCCGGGTGTACGGCGGGCACTAAACTTAGTCGAGTCGACGCGGGGTGGGAGTTTGAGATGTGCTTGATATCGGGTCTGGCGGTGATGTTTGGAATTGATTCATTCGGAAAAGACACGGCATGCACAGCCTTGTAAACGCAATCTTTGTCACACTCGAGTGTCCTTTAAAGTGTCATCCATCCGTCAATCCATGACCAACTTTCAACCAAGAGTCGATTGACAGATAGTTAGTTCCCAGCCTCCTCATCGTGTTGCGTGGTGTTGTGTTGTAAGCCCAACTCGGCTTGGGTGGCCACCTATGCACAGCTCCGTATGGACACCTCACACGCAAACGCGGCGCCTCAACACAGCCCGCCTGTTCCCTCCATCGTCATGAACGACGGGAGGAGACCCCTTTCATGCCCTTTTGCCTGCCTCGCCGTTTGATCCATTTCCTCATCGTACCCGGTCCTTGTTTCATTGGCCCTTTGCCTGCAGTCTGGCTGGCTGCTCTGTTCGTGGTGGGGGTGGAAAGCGCGTGGTGGCCTTGTCCGGGGGTGCAAGTACCGGGTACTCGCACGGCAGGCGGTCTGACAGCGTGTCACCCGGTCTCCGAGACCTGCGATTCGGCTTTGCCATGCCCCCCGGGCCCCCAGTCCAGTCACAATTTCCTTCTTCAATGATGGATCAAGCCCAGCCAAGCCCCATCCATCAGCAAGACGCAGACGCTCAGGCTCCCGTCACTGAACAACCAGTCAGCCTTCGCAGGGCTCTCCAGCCTTTTTCTTTTTCTTTTTTCTTCTTCGACTTGCTCTTGGATGCTGTGGACATGGCAGCGAGGAAGCCGACAGGTTGAAATTGGGACGGATTAGCCTGGACTAACCAACCGTCTGCCCCGTCTAGGAAGTCATCAACATTGACACGCAGTCTCACACAGGCTCAAATTGCTTCCCGTCTCCCGTCAGGCTGGAAAGACCCTGGAGAAACAAGGTGCCAATTGTGCCCGGGCGTCGATTAATTGTGCAGACCAAACCACTTGAGATCAAGACCAAGACAAGACAAGACCAGACCAGACCAGGCGCGGGCCCCAGCTGATAAATCGGCTGGCCGTTGTCGCTTGTCACTCGTCACTGACTGTCTCCCAGTCACCGTCACTGGTGGTCCAAGGCCAAGGGTCAATTTCTCCTTCATCTTTCTTCCTCCCCTGCCCCCCAGCTCTTTACTTTTTGATCATCTCTTTTTCGCTTTCCTGTCCGTCATCTCTGATCTGTCCTGTCTCGTTCTTGTCCTTCTACCTAGCTTGACTGTTCGGGTCCAGTTGCTCACTCCATCACCACCAGTCTACAATCGCCATCCCATCAACTCTCCCCGTCACATACAACTGCCCCCTTCTACTCTACCCCTACCTAGTCCGCCTGCTTCTGCTTCTCCCACACGCACACCCCCCTTTTAGGTTCAGAGCCGCCCCCGAGCCGCACCTCGACTGTTCCCGGAGCCACTGGAGACGCGGCCCCGAAAAAAAAAATCGGTTTTTTCCCTAACGCCCGTTTAGGGCACCGAGTCAGGCAGTGAGGTATCCGGCATAACCTTGTACGGGGATTCTTTGGAATTCTTCCATTCGTATCGATTTCTCTGGCCCAAATGAAGAACTTCTTTGGTAGCGGCAAGAAGCCATCATCTTCCTCGTCTTCCTCAAGGAAGCCCACCAACGGAGCAAACGAGCATTCGAGTCTCGACGACCGTGAACGTGACGATACCGCTCAGTCGCACTCGGAGTCTTCGTCGCCCACCCGATCTCCGACAAAATCTTCTTCATCTAGGAGATCATCCAGGCCTGCCTCATACGCAGAGTCAAACAAGTCTTCACACTCGTCTAGACTCTCGAGGCATTCTACCGACGCGGGCCACCGCTCCTCCCGCAGGCCTAAATACGAGCCCGCCACTCACCCGCTTAACCTCCCACCCGAAGAGCGCAAACGCCTATCTGCTCTCGCCGCCGCCATGAACGGCAGCTCTATGGATATCGACGGCGAGCCTGTCAACGGCGCCCGAGCTACCACTCCCCCGAACCCTTCCGCCCAGGCAAACTTTTCGGTGCCTATTCCCAACGGCTCTACTCATGATGGCGCCCCTCCTCCTCCTCCCCATAAGTCCAACCCCTCCAGCCCGACTCCTACGCCAAAGGATGATGCCGAGTCCTACAAGGCTGCCGGAAACCGTTTCTTCAAGGACAGAAACTATTTCAAGGCTATCGAGCAGTACAGCAAAGGTATGATTTTATCTGAGAAGCGTGGCTCATTCGACTGTCGGGCCTGAAGTCAGCCTTCAAAATGCTGACATTTTTCTGTAGCTGTCGACCTATTCCCTTTCGATGCCACCTATCTAGGCAACCGAGCCGCTGCTTACATGTCTAATGGTCAGTACGAGCATGCTCTTGAGGATTGCTCCCGGGCTGCCGATTATGACCCCCAGAATGCCAAGATTCTCCTGCGTCTTGCCCGCATCTACACCGGCCTAGGCCGCCCCGAGGAAGCCATGACAACCTTTAGCCGCATTGACCCTCCCCCATCTGCCAAGGATATGGCACCGGCCAAGGAGATGCTGCACCATATTGAATCAGCTCGCAACACCCTTCAGCGAGGCTCCGGATCTGGCATGTCCATGGTTCTTCACGCTCTTGACCTTGCTGAGCGTGGCCTCGGTCCCAGCGTCACCAAGCCCCGCAAGTGGCAGTTGATGCGGGGAGAGGCTTACCTCTTGATGGGACGTGAGAACTCGCTGGGTGAGGCGCAGAACATTGCCATGTCTCTGCTGCGACAGAACAACCAGGATCCCGAGGCACTTGTCCTTCGTGGGCGTGTGCTGTACGGCCAGGGAGACAATGAGAAGGCTATCCAATGCTTCCGTATGGCTATTAGCTGCGATCCTGACTTCCGTGATGCAGTCAAGTGGCTCAGAATTGTGCAGAGGCTTGACCGCATGAAGGAGGACGGCAACGCCGATTTCAAGGCTGGTCGACTGGAGGATGCCATCCAAAAGTATACCAATGCCTTGGAGATTGACCCCTCCAATAAGAACATGAATGCGAAGCTGCTACAGAACCGGGCGCAGTGCAAGATCAAGCTTAAGCAGTTTGATGATGCCATCGCTGACTGCGAACGCGCCATTAGCCTCGATCCTGGCTACACCAAGGCTCGCAAGACCAAGGCCAACGCGTTGGGCGGTGCAGAGAGATGGGAGGATGCTGTGAAGGAGTGGAAGACAGTTCAAGAGTTCGACCCCGAGGACCGTTCAGTCCTAAAGGAAATCCGCAGGGCGGAGCTGGAGCTGAAGAAGTCTCAGCGAAAGGACTACTATAAGATTGTAGGCGTCGAGAAGACAGCTACACCCGACGAAATCAAGCGAGCCTACCGCAAGATGGCTGTCAAGCTCCACCCCGACAAGAACCCCGGTGATGCCCACGCCGAGGAGAAGTTCAAGGACTTGCAGGAAGCCTATGAAACATTGAGCGACCCTCAGTAAGAACACCCTCCCTTGATGAAGCAGAGGCATGTGCTAACAACCTCCACAGGAAGCGAGCCCGTTATGATAATGGCGACGACCTCGTCGATCCTAGCGACATGTTCGGCGGAGGCGGCATGGGTGGAGGTATGGGCGGCATCGACCCCGAGATTCTGTTCAACATGATGGGTGGCCAGGGCGGCTTCGGCGGCGGTGGCTTCCGGTCAGCTGGCGGTTTCCCTGGCGGCGGTGCCAGCTTCAGCTTTGGCGGTGATCCTCGCCAACAACGTGGTGGTTACCCCGGCGGTTTCAACTTTTCATGACCAGCCGACTCGGACCAAGACTCTGAGGATCGAGAGTACGATACAACGGACTACGAAGAGGAAGAGGAAGAGCATGACGATGATGACGACTATAAAACCCCCTTTGTCGAGAACCCACGAGCAGGAGCTCCCAAGAACAGCAAGTTCCGAGATCATATCGAGCAGCGCCGAGAGGCCCATGATCGGCTCGTTGACACGGTACGGCGATATGGCACGGTGTTCCTGGCCGCAGCCGTCTTACTTCCAGCGCAAGTGGTACTCCTGGCTCTGGTGGGCATTGGGTTCATTTACATTTGTATGAGACGCGTCCGGCACCCCGGCGGAGACCGGTTGCCTACGTTCTAGAGACGTGCTTGGTCATGTTACACACAGAGGGACATTGCACGCATGCTACACAAATACCATTGCCACGGCGTTTTTTTCAGGGACTAGTCTAGAGGATGAGAGAGATAGGCACAGGGCAGAGCTGCGGGACGGAGAGACCCGGCTCATCCCTTTTGTTCATAGTTCTGCCACGGAGGGAGGGATAGGATACTGGCGCGGACTCTTAGATCGGTTCCTTGTGGGTTGCGTCCCATGTCTGGCATATCAACTGTTATGATAATAGAGGCTTTGTCCGCCAATTTTGTTTATGAAGTATGAAAGAATATTTGACGTGCTTGCATCTCATTGCTCAGTCTTCTTGCCAGGTGGTACACCACCGGTGGCCTCGACGACCTGGGCTACGTCGTCGCGCAGCTCAGGCATGGCCGTTGTCATGTTCTCGGCGAGTGTGTCACGAAAAGTTTCGAAGGCGTGGCGCTTACCGCGCATGAGCTGGTTGCCCCGGCGAACGAGCTCAACGAACTCACGGGTGTAGATGTCTGGATTTCGGCCGTGCTCGACGTACTCGAGGAGTTCGGGCGGTACTGACGGTAGGTTGTTGGGCGGTGATGCTGAGATGTGTACTGTGCGGAGAGACTGAGAGAGGGTTTTGCTAGGGCGTGTTAGTTGGTCGCATAGGGTAGAGAGTGTGAGGGGCTCGTACATTTCGTTGGAGAGGACTTCTTTGCTTGGGCGGCCGACGGAGTCGTAGGTCGCTACTTGGACCATGATCTGGTAGAGGTCTTGAATGACGTCCTTGAGCTGCTCTGGAAGGGCGTTAGCGCATATTAGCAGGATGTAGGAGGTTGGCGATCTTACGCTCAAGGACATTGTGGTCCACGCGATCGACGGGGGCCATTGTGTGGGATGTAGTTGTTGGTGATGGATGGTTTCGCTTGTGACAATGGATGTTGTCGCGCGAGGCTGAAGTTTAGAGCACAGTGCTACCTTGGCTAACGGTAAGTGGGGGAGTTTAAGGTTGGGTGGTCTGTGCGCTGGCTCGCTCTGAATGGAAGTTGATGTAGGAGTCAAGTCTTGGGAATTCTGAGAGGGGAGTCGTTGGTCTTTTTATGTTTTATTTATTTGAGTTACTGGTTGGAAATCAAGATGCTTTGGCATTTAGTGTTGCTGAGGTGATCAAAGCAGAAATGTTTGAATAGGTAGTTGCGTTGAGGGTATCGTGATGGGTGTCACGTGGGGTATCAATGCCGGTGTATCATGTCTCTACCTGGCTTCTATTAACTCTTTGCAGGGTATTTCTTTGGCTGGAGCAACCCATCATGCTCCAAGCATTCAAGATGGGCTTTGTACGCCTGCATCAAAAAGTCGACGGCGCATTTGACGGCGAACGTTGCCTGCTTCTCCGAAAGACCTATGTCAACCCTCTCCAAGTCAACAGCCATGATCCTATCACCACCACGATCATCCTCTACCAGATGAAAGTTGTCCAGCTTGAGGTCATCGTGTGACACTCCCGCGTTGACTAAGGTAGTTAGTGTTTCTTCCAGCAACGGCTGGAGCTCGTCGTGTCGCAGGATTGCACCCTCGGGAGTTGCGAGACAGGCACCGCCTATGTCGGACAAGAGCAGGGCCCGGGTATCGTCGTAGTCAATTTGACCAAAGCAAATAGGGATGGAACGCCCTTGGAGAGGTTTGAGCATCTCGTAAGCCGCTTTTTCCAACTCAAACTCGTTCTCCCAGTATTCCTTCTGCTTCTTGAAGACAAACCGTCGAGGCAAGGTCCATTCAGGGTGCGATGACAGAATGCGGCTACTCAACACTGAAGGCAAAATCCAGAGTAGGAAGTACACAATGCTTTCCACAATAGTTGGAATTGTACTGAGGCGGAGGACATTGGGATGCGCCGTGTCAGCTGGTGACCCAGTTGCTCCTATAATGCGGCTCCCAAAGCGAAAGTACTAGGCCCATTGGTCAGCACGATATTTCGTTTCAAGCAAGGGTTATCACGAACAATGCTTCTTGAGCGTAACACCTTTTGGGTAGATTGACGTCGGCCTGAAGAGGAACTGGGAGCCGGGCTGGACAGGGGGCTGGTAGTTAGACTAGGAGACGGAGTCGGAATGGGCTCATCCAGTCCCCCATAGTTTGCACCGATGCCATGCCCATTCATAGCGCCGGAATCCACACAGTTGCGCAGCGTAGGTATTGTTACCGGTTTTGATTGATGCTGGGTGCGAGTCAATTGGGAGAAGCAAGTTCAAGGAGAAAGGAGGCACAGAGAAAAGAGCCCATCGCTAATACAGCCTTGTACAGTGACTGACACCCAACATTCATGTCACTGCGCCTCGACCACGAAGTAACTAACCTACCGACCAACAGCTTCTCAACTAGGCATCGCAATTCTTCTAATTTTCTACTTCCACTTCAGTTTTCGATTTTCTCATTTTTACTGAGAGCACCCATGTCGTTTTACTTTGCACTTGTACCAGCGCAATCATCAACAACCCAAGTGTCACCAGCATGCCCAGGTGTTTTCTCGTTTGCCTATCTCGTCTCTTCATCCATTATCAAGTATATCCATGGCCTCGTCACGCATAATTTCGCGGTTCCCCAGGTTCTGTCTACCTTTCATACAACTCGCCAGCCATCTGAAGTCTAGTCTCATAGGCCAATACAGCACGGCCGAGCATCACATCCTGCAGCACCCTACAAATCCAGTTGTAGAAACCAAGTACACCACGGCGTCCGACAAAGAATGGGCGCGGAAATATGTGCCCATCTCAAACATCATAGTCCACTCCTTCGTCGCTGACGATGGCCTGACCCACGCCAACTTTGACAGTGCCTTCATGCCCCTCGACGCTGACGACGCGCTACGGATGAGCGAGCTCGCTGTTCCCACCAACAACAGACATTGGCGGCTTGAATTCGAGGCCGACTGTGAGAATTGGTTTAATACTGAAGTGGCCAATGTCACACTCGCAGCCTGGAAGAGTTATCCCAGTGTGGTGCAAGCGTCGCATTGCAAACCCCTTTCTGGTCGTGGCATCTCGGAAAATGTCGACTCCATCTTCTCGGCCAGGTTTTCAGGAGAGAGAGCACCGCTAGCTATTGGTGAGATGAAGAGGAATCTTATCTCGGCTACAGCCTGGCAATCCGACTGCATATCAAGTCAAGGGTCCCAGGTGAAGCTCTCTCAAGAGCTACGCGGGTATGTACTTGCCGACATCAAGGTGCACTATGGCTAACTCTCTAAATAGATATGCCTGCAAGTATGAATGTCCTCAGGTCTTTTGCTTCGACGGGTCAACATTGCTCATTCTACAGTTTCGTGCACTACGAGCTAAGGATCTCGAAGATGAGCGATGCTGGGTTGATTGCTGGGTGCTTCCCAGAACAACCAGTTCCTGTACACTACGCTATGCCTTGTACAGACTCCTGGCCCAAGGTTGGAGGCGGTACCAGGCAGAGTTCTCGACACCGTCTTTCACCGTCGGGGGTCTTACTCCTTGCTCTCGAGAGTTCTTTACTGGGCGGCCCATCTGGGAGGGAGAGGAGGGCGGTTTCCCTTCTCACCCAGACGGTTATCGTCGATCTGTGGACGCAGCTACCGGGGCTTTGATGTGGACTCATAAAGAGTCTCCAACCAAGATGGAAACCGGTTCGTTTTGGTGACGTTGGCTAATGCCGGTTGGTTAAAGACAACAAAGACACAATGTCAACGGCCGAAATATCTTACTTATGATCTCCCATGTTGTCTCATTCCCCGGAACAACTTGTTCTCTCTTAGTGACTCTCGCTTGGTAATAAGAAAGAAGATCTGGGTCCCTACAGATGCGGGCTGACGCCATGTTGATAGGTGTTGCCTCTTGTGTCACCGTCGACCATTCCAGACGCGAGTTGCCGAGACATCAAACGTCTTTCTTTCGGAAGAGTAGCACAGACATCCCCCATACCAAGCCGCGTTTCTTGTTCGATCCGGGCCGCCTACTTGCTTGTGCCAATAGGGTGAGCACCCGGGAGCGGAAATGGCAGGTTGCTTACATTGTTTGCCTGCAATATGGCCTCTTGGCAACGTCAGTGGACTCTGGTGCTAGAAAGACACTCAAGAGGTTTATTACTGAGTAACCCTGTTTTCATGTAAGTTGCTTCTTCCGTTAAAGCGGTTGCATTGGCATGGGTGTTCTCCCAGGCCGGGATGGGCTGTCTGACATCCAGCCAAGAGAGGATTGCTACTACCAGTCAGGAGAAAAGCTCTGTCCCCATTGCCATGTCCTTTGTCTGAATACCTATTTGCCCCTTCTCTCGGTAGTGCTGAGGTCTCTCACATATCATATTGCCTAAGTCAAGCCCCTAAACCGCACCCCTAGCCTGAATACACCAACTCTGCAAATGCAGCCACAATCATTTTAGTACGGTAGGTTCTTTGTCCGATCTCAGGGCCAGTTCTGAATGAGAACATTCGGCACAGGCAGAACTGAAAACGAGCTTCAAACCTGCATGATGCTATGTCAGTTCTTGATAGCCCAGCGGCTGAAAGAAACCTCAGTCTCTCCCCAGAGCTGGGAAAAGTATAAGATGGCTCTTTTTTGTTTTGAACTCAACCTTCTTCAGGTTTCTCTCCTTCCTGCCAAAGAGAATATCTTCCATCTCATTCCGTCACCTTGTTGAGCATCGCCTTCATCACCCAGGCTCACCGCCAGCACCGCCAGGATGCCGTCGCAGAGTCAGTACGTGGACTCCAAGTTCCTGTTCCCCCACACCTACCGTGAAGGCAACAAGTGCATTGGTTGGACCAAGTCCCGTCGATACTGCAACAATCCGATCAGCCAGGGGAAGCATCTCAGACATCTTCTCCTCATGGAACAGCTCAATGAGCTGTCTCTCGCGGAGCAGATCACCTCTCCCCTCCTCGAGCAGGCTGTGGAGTTGCGTCTCTGCCATAAGCATTTGGAGAATCACCTTGCTCCCGAGTTGGAGAAGGCTCAGAGAAAGCTCATGATAGCTCTGGATGATTCTGAGGTGTGTAAACGGTTGACTTTGTGTGATACTTTCCAACTAACGACATGTAGGGACAGGGAGGTACCCAGGATCAGCCAGCCAGAACTCGCACCAGACTCCCTGAGAATGCTCCAGTTGCCAGGCCTGAGGTACCGGATGCGCCTCCTCGCAACCGAACAACCCGGGTTCCGACTGCTCATATTCCGGCTGCACGCACACCGCGTGTTCGTTTCACTTCCTCTACCCGGGGCCCAGCCGGTGAGCCGTCGGCAGCGTATGCCCCCAGCCCTCGCCCGGCCACAGCTCGCCGTGCTGCATCCGTTCGTAGTCCAGCTGCTCGGCCACCAGTTGTCAACGACTACATTTCGCCGGCCTACACTCCAGCTATCCGGCCTCAACAAATCCGTGTTGGACAGGCCCGTATCCCTCCTACTGCACCTCTGCCTCCTCACCCAGCTGTTCGCTTCTGGGAGCCCACCGCTGGATACGGCAATCAGTTGGGAGGCCTGTCACATCCATGGGCCAGAGCTGAACCCCTGACTCCCCCAACTAGTCTCCCGTCCACTCGGGACGACACTCCCGACCGTGATGTCACCATTGGTCGTTCCATGAGCAGCACCGCTGCGACCATCTACATCCCTTCAGACTCTGAAGGCGAGAGTGCATCTGACGACGACGATGATGACAGCTCAGAGGATGAGGGGCCTGCGGGTGCAAACAGCCGAGTCTATCCCATGGGGTTCTGGCATCGCTACGACAAGAAGTGGGATTCCCTTGAGGACAACGGGCGCGTCACAGGAAAAGTGAGTATCCCGACTTCCCGTTTGCTTGAAAGTGACACTCACAGACTGCAGGCTCTAGAAGAACAGATCCCCTGGCCCGTGTACGGGAAGAGCTATCCGACACCGGAGAACGTCGAGGCCTTTTACCATGATGCTGTTGTTGGGTTCTCAGCCCGAAGTGACCGTATCCTCGTCATGGGAAACGAGTGTCGACGCTGGGCGCCTAAGAACCTCAAAAAGGTGCTGGGGAAGCGCATCTTCAAGGGAATGTTTGCCGAGACCCTGCAGATGATTCACTTTGTGGCCAGAAGCTGTCACGATCGTCTCATCTCTGAGGGTGGAGGTAATTGAAATGGTGGTGAGGCTGAAGTTGCGGCTAGGATGGTAGTTTGGATATGTATGCTCTTGGTTGGAGACAGCATCGACAAGGGTGTTTCGTTTGGATGTGATACAGGGAGGCCAAACAACTTGAGGCTAAAGGTACTTTGAAACGATGTTGAGAAGACATGTACCTTTTCATTGAACAGGTACCATTTGGATCATCTAAACCAATTAGGTGGCTTTGAGAAAAATGACGAGTAATTATTCACACATCCGTTGAGCCCCTTTATGATCATGTATGGTCATGTGGACGGGTAAGTAGGTGGTCAATCGGAAGTTGTGCAAATGACTGTCTAAGGATCGCCAGCTGGGAATAGGTGTAAAAGTGCAACAGAGATACCCGCAAAAGGAGGGAGAGGGCTAGCCAGGTCAGGTACTCCATGTTACTGCAAAGTGCAAACGCCCATGATGCATGTCCCCGCCACTGAGGGTTGTTTGCTCTTGTCCGTTCGCCAGCAACTTGCCATGTCTGCTTGACCTTGACCGACATTTTTTTTTCCCTTCTGGTCTTTTCATCTTCATGTCTTCCGTGTCTTGAATTCAAAAATTTCTTGTATCTTAAAAACGACTGCTTCTTTTGTTATTGTATCGCGGAAACAACTGCTTCTATCAACCACCATGAGTCGCCAACCACTACCCAACGCTCCCCGAAGGACGAATGTTGAAGTCGAGGACTACACTTTCGAAGAAAGAAAGACTCTTGATAGCATTGAAAAAAAGTATACCTTGAACCTTCTTCTGAAGGCGAGTTACTCTTCATTGACCGGGCCTGAAGGCTTTCGGGAGTTATACCAGAACTGGTATGAAACCCTTCTTCCTCATGTCTTTATGTGGAACATTAAGTCTTACATGAACCTCCTTCTTTTGATTCAACAGGAGAGACGCAATGATTGTCTCGCACAAGACAGAGATATACATCGTCGAAGAACGGAACAATACCGAAATCATCTACAAGGCGTACGGACGCAGCACCGGGTCCAAGTGCCTCGGCTACATCATATTCAGGGGCCACAACGGAAAGGGCACAGTCGAGATCACCAACTGCGATTCTAGGCTGGAGCCCTATCACCTCGACATGGGCGGCACCACCAAGGCCGCCAACCAGGACCTTGCGGGCTTTCACGGTGAGGGCCTCAAGCTCGCCTTGCTGGTCCTGCAGCGCGGAGAGCAGAATCATTCCGTCCGCTGCACATCCGGTAGCTTTAGCTGGTGCTTTGGGTTTACCACCCAGGGTAAACTAGTCGCAAATCTGACTCGTCTCACAAATGCGCGTAGCAAGGACAAACACCCGCAAGGTAGTCTAGCTCCCTTTTTCCCAAATTATAGGACTGATGTCAGGTTCGTTATTGGCGAGATCAAGAAAGCCAAGAACGAGCGAGGCGAGATTGTCAGACGGAGCGCCGTGAAGCGTGAAGAATTCGAGTCCTGGTGCACCACCGTCCTCGCTCTTCAGAAACTCGACAAGGACAGTGTCCTGAAGACCAAATATGGTGAGATCATCATGGACCCCAAGCACAGAGGTAGCCTCTACCTCAAGGGTCTGCTCATGCGCAGATCTACGCGCTCTTGCTCGGCGAGCATGACGGGCAGGCCCCTCAAGTACGGCTACAACTTCGAGAATGGCACCACAAATCGAGATCGAAGAACTCTGGGCTCAGCCGAAGAGGAGGGTCGTGCTATCCTCGCAATCTGGCAAGCGGCGCTGGTTGAACGGCCTGACCTCGTGGGTGAACTCTCAGACATCCTCAACTCTTCAGATCCCCAATGGGCAGAGGTTTCCATGCTCGGTGTCGGTTTATTACCTGGTACTGCCGACAAGCTCGCCCAACACCTCCTTTCGGATGCGTCCAGATGGTACTACTCTCCGAGGGAGAGAGAAGAGGTATGATACGTCCCCTTACATTGCACAATCAGCTAGTTGATGCGTTCCTAGAATCCTGGGCTCGATACGATGATCGCGAGCCTCGGCCGGCAGGGGTTCCAGCTGGCAGTCGAGTACTGGGATACTTTGGCATCGTATGGACTTATCCATACCGCGAAGAGTGGGCAGCGAGGTCGATTTCGGTCCGCTGCTACCGTTACGATTCCGGGAGATCAATTCGCCCAACAAATGGAGAGGATGTTGCGAGCATGCTTGAGAGCATGCCCGCACACTAGCTCCTCGAAGCTCGAGTTTGTAAAGGCCGGCTGTCTCTCGTTGCGAGCGTTCTTCCAAGAGAAGGACGGCGGGCTAGTCAAAGTACATGAGAGATGGCTCCATCGAGCCACCGTCATGGGCGGGTTCGCCTTCCTGGAAGATGTGTCCGAGACCTACACCTCCTTGCATGCTTGTAAGCTGCTATTTAGGGACATTGTGGAACAATTGGGGGACAGTTCTTTTGCAAACCACGATGTACAGGCCAGTGTCGGGCAGAAAGAGCAGCAGTTGGTGCTGGCCGAGCAGAGACTGACAGAGTATGCTCACCTTCATTCCACTCTCACACTCAAGACAATAGACAGGGAATCTGCTATAGTCGTCACCTGGGAGTTCTTGAAGAGCTCCATAGGCGATCTTTCCTTTGAGGTTGCTCTTCATGATGCTTCAACCTGCTCGAGCCTCAAGGACAAATTACTTGCCAAAGACAGTAAGAAACCGAGGCTCTGGATTCTATCGTATCATCCAGCAACGTGCTAACTTTTACTGATAGTGGACGAGAGTGATTCTGTCTGCCCCTCTCAAGTGCACAGCTCTCAGGGAAGAGCCACACAGACTGCACAAGCAGAAGCCTGCTGTGCAGTAGTAAGTGTCAGGGGGAAATCTCGCGCCGGCGAGTCGATGAAGTACGGAGCAAAATTCTGCAATGTCAAGAAAGGGACCAGATACTTTGCTATCGTCTACAGGCCCGACAAGCCCTCGTCCCTTGTCGCTGTGTCAAACATGGGTGGCATTCCTGCCGGCACTCATGAGGCTTCCAGGTAAGACTCTAGACGTCTTGTGCTGTATTGAAAACTTGTGCTAAACGAACCAGAGCTCCATCGGGTGCGAGAGCCGCGCCTCAACAAGCACCCTCATACCCCTTTCCAGGAGGTCAAGGCATCCCCCAAACACCATCACGCTTTCCAGCCGGCCAAGGCATCCCCCATACGCGGCCGATCCAGGGCCAAGGCATGCCCGTACCAATATACGCAGGCGGCTTTGATCCTCAATGGCCCAATCCCCAGGTGGTTAACCAGCTCCCACCCGAGGCCATACGTCAAGTCAACTACCGTCATCCCGCTCAAGGTGTCCCTGTATATCTCAGGGGCAATGGGGGCATGGGACAGCCTTTTCAAAAGCGTCACCGCACTGGCTGACTGGTTTCATGAGCAAGTTGAAGGGGTGCCTGCCAGAATTATGGTTTGGGATATTGAGCGTGTGTTTTGACCAGAGCAAGGCAAGAGGAGGATTCGAGGGGCGGCGGAGGGAAGGGGATACAATTATGATGTTTAACGACCAATCTTGATGGATCTTAGCGGGATATTCCAAAAGTTTTGCTTTAACAATGCCATTTGTTTTACTTTAATCAGATTGCTAGACTTTCAGCTTCAAAAGAGGCATTCGACCTTGCATCAACTGACCCCGAGTGTTTACCAAGTGCACATGTTGGATACACGTGCTTGACTGGTCATCTTCACGGCTGCAGTTTCTCTCGTCACCATGCATCAACACGAGCGTGGCTAATTAAACCACTGCAATCAAAGTATCTCAACATTCCAACTCAAAAGCTTCTCTCTCGCTTACAACCAAGGACACGCCCTCTTTCGTTTCACCATTTTCAGCCTCCTCCGAAGCAGCCGCCGAAGCTACTGCAAGCCTTGGTCTGATCACCGGCATCTCCATCGCACGAGCAAAAAACAACAAACATGGCTTGCAAATGGGTTATAAATATCTTTAAGCTTATCACATTTTCACGGCGTCACCGTTTTTAATGACGAGGCTTTTCACGCGTGCACAGACAGACATTCAACAAGCTTTTCCAAACAACCAATGTCCAGATTGACTATCCTAATCCCTTCTCATCCCTCCCTCGTCGTCACCAATCTCTCTCTCAGACAAATAAGCATCAAATATATACAATAGAAATTAAGAATGGGTAATAGAAGAGAAGAAAAGAAAAAAAATCCGTTCCTCACCTTGCGGCAGGGAACAGCAGTATAAAGACCTCCTCCATCACCCCAAAAAGAGGTGATTTCACTGTAGAATATTAAAACGGGGGAAAAAGACATGAAAGAAATAGAATTAGAAGAAAAAAGAGAAGAGAAAAAAGGAAACCGCCCTCCCATTCTACCCTGTCATACACATGCGTAATATCCAAGCATCCTGGGAACAGGAGCCGGACGCTTTGTCCCAATCCCAAATAGTCGTCAAAAGGAGCGTAATGTCGTTTTGCCTGGCTAGGCATCTCGTATGTTGGCCAACGCCGTGATAATTAAAAGTCGTGTCCCTCTTTTTTATCCCGGACAGCCGTTTTATCCCAATGAGTTTCAGAGAAGAGAAGCGAAGGGGAGTAGAAAAAGAAAACCTGGGAGGTGTTTTTTTTTAAAAGAGTCCAATCGTGCTGCATTTAGAAGAGAGCAATGGCACCAACGACACCAGCCATGAAGGCAAGGGCAGGGGCCTTGTTGGCGGCAGCAGCGCCAGTAGGGACCTCGACGGGGGCCTCAGTTGGAGTAGCAGGGACGGTAACCTCGGGCTGAGTAACAACCTCAGTCTCGGGGAGCTGGACGGTAGTGGGCTGAGGAGCGACAGTCTCGTAGACGGTGCCGCCACCGACGGTGTAGACAATCTTGGAGTACTGGGTGACAACCTCGCCCTGGCCGACAGTCTTGACAATGGTCTCGTAGGCAGGGATGGTGGTCTCAACCTTCTCGACGATGACAGAGGTCGAGGTGTAGACGTTGGTGACGACCTCACCCTCAACGGTCTTGGTGACGGTGATGGGGCAGAGGCTGTACTTGGTGTTGTAGACAACAACGTGCTCGTTCTTGGTCACGTCGGGCTTCTTGACCTGGTCGTAGATGGTGGTCTCAACCTTTTCGACAATGTAGTCGGTCGAAGTGTAGACCTCGGTGATGACCTCGCCCTCGATCGTCTTGGTGAGGGTCACGGGGCAGAGGCTGGTCTTGGTGTAGTAGATGACATCCGTGGCATACTTGGTCACATCAGGCTGCTTGACGTGCTCGTACTCAGTGGTCTGCACCTTCTCCTCGATCACGCTGGTGGTGGTGTATGTCTCAACGACAACCTCTCCAGCAATGGTCTTGGTGATGGTCACGGGGCAGACAGTGGTGCGGGTAGTGTACTCAACGTCGGTCTCGTACTTGGTGATATCGGGCTGCTTGACGTGCTCGTAGTCGGTGCTCTTGACAACCTCCTCAATGACACTGGTAGTGGTGTAGACCTCGGTAACAACCTCGCCGGCGATAGTCTTAGTAATCGTCACAGGGCAGACGGTTGTGCGGGTCGTGTACTCGACTTCAGTCTCGTGCTTGGTAACATCGGGTTGCTTGACGTGCTCGTAGTCGGTGCTCTTGACAACCTCCTCAATGACGCTGGTTGTCGTGTAGACCTCAGTGACAACCTCACCAGCAATGGTCTTGGTGATGGTCACGGGGCAAACTGTGGTTCGGGTGGTGTACTCAACCTCAGTCTCGTGCTTGGTGACGTCGGGCTGCTTAACCTTCTCGTACTCGGTGGTCTTGACGACTTCCTGGATGAGGCTGGTGGTGGTGTAGACCTTGGTGATGACCTCGCCGCCGACCGTCTCGGTCACGGTGACGGGGCACACAGTTGTTCGCGTGGCATATTGGACATCAGTGTACTCCTTGGTGACATCGGGCTGCTTGACTGTCACGTGGACGTCCTTGGTCTCAGTCACGACAATGGTCGAGGTGGTGAGCTCAGTCACGCAGTAGGTGCTGTATGTTGTGAGTTGACTGAGCCAAAGTATCAGAGAGATTAGATCACTTACGTTCCCTCCTTGGTATGAGTGTAGGTGACGGGGCAGGTAGTCACGGTGGTGTAGGTCACAGCGGTCTTGGTCACGCCGTAGTCACCACCATAGCCGTAGTCACCACCCTCATCACCGCCCTTGTCGCCATATCCATCATCTCCACTGTCACCGTACTCCTCTCCGCCGCTTCCGTATTCGTCTCCTCCGTTGCTGTAGTCGTCCTCACCATAGTCTCCTCTTCGGATGTTCTGGGCCAGGGCCGTGGTGGCCAAGACCAGGAGGGCAGCGCCAAACTTCATAGCGAAAGTTGTAGGAGGGCTTTGGTTTCAACGAGGGTGTTAAGAACGAGTGCTAGGGGTCAACAAGCGATAGTGTAGTGGTTGAGCGAAGGTATTAAGTAACCTGAACGAGTTGGTTACTCAAAGGAACTCGAGGCCTGTATCGGGATGGCCGCTGATGAGAAGCTGGAGATAATGCAAGAGAGAAAGTAAAGCCAAAGAAGGTTGAGGGCCACGCTTATATCTGTATCGTGATGCTTGGGTGGCCAGGCCTCGGGGAGGAGGAGACAGAGAGGCCAGCCCGAAGTGGCCATGCTGCCATGACAACTTTGCAGGCTAGTTCCAACAGACTTTGTCGTTCCAACTCCACCTCGGGTTGCATTAGACTGACTCTTGCTGCGAAGAGACGAGAATCGACGACGAGGGAGGGGGGTGGCCTTTGCCAAGACGTGATACGGACATCATCAGTCCAACCCTATTCGAACAGACTGGAGGATGTGGCTGGAGCTCACTGGAGCAAGAGCTTTGTGCAGGGAGGGTGCATCGGTAGCAAGGACGGGGAGAACTAAGGACCGGCCGGACGAGGCATTAGAGCTCACGGTGATCCCAGTCAGAGCTGGCCCAAGACGTGATGTCAACATCATGCACGAGGTCGGCGAGTCCCTCTCGGACATGGCCAAGACGCCTGAGAGCTCGCTTTGGCAAGGTTCTGGGAGCTCCATCCTGGACAGGTAGATCTGCAATAGCAGGGCCGATATGTCGGCCTTGCTCGAAGCTCAACAAAAGATCCTGTGGCATCCAGGCGTCGACAAGGCTGCCTATCAGCTCAGGTGATACAAGGCGAAGCAAACCCAGACCCGGGCCAGTAGAAGGACGCGTCTGCTCAGTTGATGACTGGATCAGCCTAACGCTCCGTCTGGGGAACCACTGAGACGGGAAACGGCATGAGGAACCATGGGCACAGTCAGATACGAGCGAGTTTGCCATGTGCTCCTCCTCCAACACGAACCACCATCACACAAGTCAGATAGGGCGGAACAGGGCACTGCGCTGCAACTCTCGGGCTCAACTCGGGAGTCATTGGTGATTTCTGACGTCGGTCTCCAGGAACAGTGGTTATGTGGAAAGGTAAAACGGACCGGGGATGAATGAGAAAGGCGGAAACGAAGCGACTAGGGCTTGGACTGCGGGCTCGACCAAACATCGACGAGTGTTTTACCTCGCTTTGCCGAGAGGCAACTAGTGTCGAGGTACCTCATGTACTGACATGCGAGACTGAGATGTATTGAGCGGTTTGTTAGTGATGTGGCCTGCGAGTCGGCCTGACAGACCAGGTCTGGTCGTCCCGTGGGAGTTGGGATGCATCCCAAAGGTCAACGCCATCACCAATTGCTCCCCACGAGCAGCCAACAAGACGTGAAGCCCCATGCCAGGGCAGGCCGGTGTGAAGCCACAGGAACCCAGCCGAGCTACGTGGACGGAGGACTTGGCGCCAACCAAGCCATGACACAAGGAAGACGCATAAACTTGCTTGCCGTGACAGCAGGAGCAAGTCGAGGGAGCAAGCGGAGAGGGCAGACGAGCAGTCAAAGTGGATAGCAAGGTGCTGACTGTGCTTGTGCCTGTGCTGTAGGTACCGCAGGTGCACGGCGTGGATGAGCCTCTCTTGTCTCGAGGAGGCTTTTCCTCATGCCGAAGGCACCTTGCTCGGGTGGGTTAGTCAAGATCGTCACCCCATCTGTCGCCAATCGACGATTGCCTCGATGGACGACGCCCAGGTCCCCAGGAGGGCGAGCCCAAAGAGAGCCATGGTTTCGGAGGGGTGGGTCCTCTCCCCCAAGCGGCCCCCGACATGCGGAACCAAGACTAGGAACGGGGGTTTTTGGGTGTTGATCCCCGTTGCCATGTTGTTGTGGGAGTGGTCGATGAGACTTGGCGGACGGGTCTATGGGCCGATGGTGAGAGCGGTCGGGACTTGGCTCTCTCTCTCTCGACTGCGCTGTGCCTGCGGAGATGGGTCGACGGGCACGACCGGCCGAGAGAGGCCCCCTCACTGATCGTGATACAAGCCCTGTTCATGGCTACTCTGACATGCGGCTGTTGTACCAGCCCAGGTTTCCGGGTCCGGGAGTGTGGGATTGCACTCTGTGGGAGACGATAGTTCCGGGCATCTATGGCAATTCCGAGATATTCTGGCTTTCTACCAACCACCATGAATGGGTTTCAAGGTGAGGTCGAGGTGAACCGGCCTCGCCATGCTCTGCCCTGGCCTTGGGCCGGGCGGCCATGTGTTCTGAAACTCAAAATGTCAGCAGCGGCGACGACGGGGAGTCGGATGCACGCGTCCTGTAGACGAGCACGGCATATTCGTCGGTCGAGCTGGACCTGCCTGGGCGAACGACAACCATTACGCGATGTCGGTTGGTCGCGGGCCAATCGACAGTCTGACGAGGACGAGGTCGAGGTATCAGCCAAGGAGCAGCCTCATCTGCCCTACCACAGCGTCAACCTGCAGCAAGCCACCACGCGTTGTCCTTTGCCGAAGCCTGTTTTTGTCTCTCCCTCGCTGCCCCGGGATCTACGGCGTCAGGGCGGCTCATCTCGCACGACCGAGAGCGCGAGAACAAAGCGAGGGGCCGGGGGTTAGAGAGTGAGTGATTGCCGTGCAGGAGACATTGCTTGAAGTGATGTGATGCGCGGGTGTGTCGAGAAGATCCGTCGCCTCTCTCACCAGATCGGCGAGGTTAAACGTGCGCGCACCCAAAGCCAAGAAGCGAACCGTCTGTCTCAACCAAGCGGCTCTAGCGCATCGGTTCCGTGGGCTTAGCGCATCATGGCAGAGCGGAGGAGGCAAGGGCCAATGCTGTGATGCTCTGCGGCTAAGATACCGACCGAGATGGTTGCTTCGGACGCGCCCTGACGATGATGGTGTGTAGGAGGAGGGCGTTGAATACGAGAGAATGCTGCCCTGGACGGTACTAGCGCTGGTGTAGCTCTCAACATCGGAGGATTGAGTTTTAGAGCAAACGGGTTGAGATGGGGCCTGAAGAACCAAAGCGCCACAATCAAATAAGGTAGCCAGGGAGGTATCGTGAAGGGAAACGCCTCAGTGTAAGTGAGAGAGTAAGAAACCACCCTGTTGCCTCGCCATCATCTCACTATTCATGTAACTCGAATATACGATATTCGGCATTCTGCAGTCAGTCAGCGTCTGAAAGACACAAAGCTCAGCCGTGCCCTCAAGCCATAATCCAACCTCGACGGGGCCAAGCCGCTCTCACTGTTGGTACATACAGGAAAATACCTGCTCTGCTCAGCCCGCATGTGCTTCTTGGGTTGCACGACGCCATGTACGCTTACGGGATGGAGGGTGAGGTGCAGAAAAAAGGCAGAAGAGGAAAAAACTCGTCCTGCAAGGGAAAAAAAGGCTTCCATGAGGATGAGACCAACATGACATCAGACGGGCTAGAGAGTTGATCTGAGGGTCGGGGATAACAAGAGAAAGGCCGCAACTTGGGATGGGTAAATTAATGATATTGAGAAATTATTCACAATACGAAACAGCCTCTTTTTCGGTTCCCCAGCAGCAATCCTAAAAGAGCTCCCATGACATGAAAGACAAGAGCCATCAAGATAATCAACTTCGTATCGTGAATAGGTGGTGTGGTTGCTTCTAAAGGTACTGTCGCTCAGCGCCAGCCACATCCACACCTCTTTTCTTCACATGGGGGATCCATCCCAGCCACACCTACACCTCGCAACATCACGAGCGAGTCACAACTTTCTCACCCCAAAGACCAGGGGGTCAATTCATGGATGCAGGGCTTGAGCAGATGCGATGCAATTCGAAAAAGGATAATCCCGATGGATGCCCACCTCCCAATCGAATCGAAGCAGTCAGAAACCTGCACCGTCGTTTCCGTCCTATCCGAGAGCCAAGAGGGAAAGCAAACGACGCTTGCCATCATCAGGCATGATGGAGCTGAGCTGAGCTTTACTTTTGCTTTGCTTCGCTTCCATCGCCTCCAACGATAAAGCACGCAAACACGGCCAACACGTGTGGGTGTGCAACTTGGCCGAGAGGATACAGCTAACGCAGAGAGAGCTGCCCTCCTCGGCGCATGGCGTCGCCGCTTCGATTGGCTGGCCTCGAGCTGCACTGCGTGTCCGCCCTTTTCTTTTGCGAACCTGAGCCAGGCACAGCCAGTACCTTACAGCGGGAGCAGGGCACAGACAGCCAGCTACAGCTGCTTGGACAGCTCAGAGTGTGGAGGACGGGAACCTCAACTGATGTCCACCTGAGCTGAGCTGGCTAATGTTGAAGCTGCCCGCTTGCAGCCATCACGACACGGCACAACGCACAAAGCAACACACGATAAACTAACTACCAGAGGAATTGACTTCTCCTCTCCCGTCCCAGCGACATGCAGAAGTGTTGCAAGTCAGTGCAATGCCGGCCTGTCCATATCATGACTCCTCTTCTGCGGCCACCGAAGGCTCCACCAATCATGGCAATCCCGGTCAACCTCCTCGCTCTCACTTCAAACGACATCAGCCGCGATGGATGTACGATGTACCTACTGACACTGGATTCAAGCTTATTCTCCGCTAGTCTCAACGTCATGACTCTTGATCTTCTCTCCCCTTCAACCCCCTCTTTTCTCGTATCGCCATCCCCATTCCCTACTGTACGAAAAAAAGGCGAGCCCGATTCCCATACCTCCATCACCGGCCAAGCTTTTACCTCCCACCCAATTCCCATTGCCGAGACGAGCAGGAACAAGGCATCTTCTAAAACCTGCAGCCCTTTCTAGACCTGCATCCCCTCGCAAGACCTAGAACCCCAGTCTTTGCAGATCAGCGTCGGCAACTTCCCTTCCCAGAAGCAGAGCCCAGATTCTGACCAACGCAGAGCCCGCGTGATAAGACGTACGGCCCCCTCCTCCGGAAGCAGGAAGAACAAGAAGAAGAGCATCAGGCATATTGATCCGCCGGGGGAGCAAGCAGACAGATGGAGCCCTAATGCACGTTTGTCTGCATTGTAACCAACCCCGACAGAGGCAGCAGTCATCTTTTTCAAACTCGCAAACCGAAAAAAAGTCAATCGCGGCGAAGAGAAAAAGTGGCATGCTTTTTTCCACGGCATGAGTTTACTGCCAGGCCTTCCCCTCATGCCACGGCGTGGACAACTCGTGATTCCCGCATATCCAGTCTGACAGGCAGGAATACAACGTCTTGTCGTTGGAAGAATCGGGATCAACGCCCGTTCAACCTGCATTCTCCACGCTGTTGCATCTGTCCCCCGCGTTGGACCGTCCTCTTGATCGACCTCTTTTTCTCTTTCTTCGCAGTTGTCATTTGCCAAGGGCCATATCCTTGATGCCTGTTGGCACGGGACATGCCATGATGTGACAAGAAATCCACAGTTGACCGTCAAAAACCCTGTCTATTGGGAAGAGGGGCTCCGGGTCGTGATATTTCCTCCATGTCTCCGGAAGCAAAAAAGGCAATTGGGTTTAGGTTTGAGTCTCGACTAGATAGAATTGTTCTCGGTGTCCATCCTCGGAATTATCCATCAACTCTACTTTAAGTGCATGTCTAGAGTTGAAATTGTAACCCAAGCCCAGCTTAGAAGGACTCTAATATGCGGCTGAAGAGAATGGGTTGCGTGAGGAGGCAAATTCTGCTCATTGTGTAAGTCAAGTAGATGTCTCACACCGGCAGTTGAGATACTGCATCCTCAGCTTAACGTACGTCCCCGGGCTTACATCACGGCCCGTATGCACGTTGCCCAAATTTCAAGACACTGGCCTCATTTCAAGAGCAAGCCGACATCCTACAAGGATTGTTCAACTAAGAGAGCTTCAGTTCCAGGTCTAGGTTAACTGGAAGCACACCAGCCATGACCACCATCGACTGGGCAGTACGACGAGCACAGTCTACATAAAAATGTTCATTTCAAAATACTATGGACGTGATACCCGGTATTAGATTGAATATTTCTTCGCAAAATGAAGCATCCCACGGGATATCTCCTTTTATCATTGATTATTTTACTATTTCATGTTCCAAAATGGTCATCATACTACCCTGCAAATGCGTTTTTAGCCTGCGGTTTTCTCCTCCTTTCTAGCCAGAACTGTCAACTCGCATAACATTTCCCCCCTCTTTCAACCCTTATGCCTTGGGGATCCATATAACCTCATTGATGACAGCCTCACCGAGCTCCTTGGTGTTGGCGCCACCACCCAGTTCCTTGGTTCGGAGACTCCAGGGCGGCACCCACAGCCTCCTCAGGGAGGTTGAGAGAGTATCAGAGAAGCATGGCCACGGACAGGATCGTGCCGATGGGGTTGACGATGCCCTTGCCCGAGATACCAGGGGCAGAACTTGTAAATCAAAGTCAGCTAGCAAGTATTGGAACACTGGGAAAGAATACATACCGTGGATGGGCTCATAGATATCGTTACTCTTTCTGTTGCCATCAGGAATACCGCTCAAGCTGGCACTGGGCAGGAGACCAATGCTATCGGGGATGACTCTGGCCGCGTCGCTGATAATGTCACCAAACAGGGTGCTCGTCACAACAACACCGTTAAGACCAGTAGGGTTCTTGACCATGATCATGACCGCGCTGTTAATGAGCTGGTGCTCGACCTTAAGGTCGGGGAACTCCTTCTCAAACGTCTCGGTCATGACCTTGCGCCAGAATCGGCTCGTGGCAAGCACGTTGGCATTATCCAGAGACCACAGCTTCTTGTCACCGCGACCGCGGGTAAGAAAACCAGCCAGATGGGTGAAGCGCTCCACCTCGGCGTGGGAGTAAGGCTCAGTGTTCCAGGCAGAACCAGAGCCGGTTTGCGCTCTCCAAAGTAGATACCGCCGGTGAGCTCGCGCACAATGACAAAGCCGGTGCCGCGGCACACCTCGGCCTTGGGGGGCGACGAGCGAGTCCGAGGCGAAGAAGCAGGGTCGCATGCTACCATAGGTACCCATCTCCTTGCGGAGCTTGAGGAGGCCCCGCTCAGGGCGGGACGTCGCCGGTGCCCCATCCCGGACCGCCGATGGAGCCGAGGAGGACGGCCTCGGCGGCGAGGGTCTCACCTATGAGGGGGCTGCCGTTTGCATCGATAGAGCACTGTGAAGAAGAAGACAGGTCAGCAAAGGTAAGCTGTAGGAGGGTGCAGCTGCACGTGGGCTAAACAATGCAACACTTACACCACCCATGAGATGCTCCTAAAGGTTGAACTTGCCAACACACCTCAGGACCACAGTAGTCGCCAGCGAGCACGACAATATTGTTTTCAGTCATTGTTTCCTCACTCGCACGGTTTATAACCTTTGAATTGGTAGGAATAGAGTCGAAATAGACAGGGAAGAGAGTGGTTAGGTCGGCTTTTGGGAATCCGTTTTCTGAGTTCCAGCCGATGCTGCCCCGCCCCTCAACCCCATCATGCCGAGATTGGAGCTCCGGCGGCCGGCGCTTCGCTCAGTGGCCGGCTCGGCCCTCGACGGCAGAGCAGAGCCAAAGTGGGCGGCAACGGTATTGGCCAACAAGAGTCAAGACCAAGGTCATTTTGGGCACTTGCTCGGAGAGGAGGCTGTCTTGAGCTCTTCATCTATGCTTATGCCTTGCAGGGCTGTTGTGTCTGCACAAGCAAGCATAAGCATAAGCGTTCTTTTATCAACCCCTTCAGCATCTGATGCGTGGCATTCCTCCATCCATCACAGCCTCATGCTCAAGACTCCTCCAACACATGAGGCTTTAGCCCTCGTCTACCGTGACACCCATGTACGTCATCCTCACAAGACAATAGCTCACCGACCTTGCTCGTGTCAAAGGCAAGAGAATCACGGCACACCACTCGAACTGAGTATGACAGTCTCATAAAACCAGATGCATGTGTATTCAAATCAGACCCACCCCGAGGACTCCTCCCATTGTCTACTCCCTCAGAAATGCTCATCAACCCAATCCTTATCGAAACGCCCTGAATGATTTGTTTGCCAAAGGTGACGGCACGGCCCCGACGCCCAGCATGCTTCCTCGCCCCGTGTCTCGCAGTCGCCCTCCACGCATGTTTGGCGTGTTTGCGCAAAATGCGCAGATGTAAACCCTCGGTCGTGTCCGCGAATTCATATTGATACACTTGCCGTGCAGCCACATCTCACACGACTCGCTGGTTCCAAGGTCAGCCCAAACTCTACCATGTCTCTGTCTCGGCCCGCCACCAAGCTGGCTGGAAGCCACTCACCACTGAATCATAAAGCCGTCTCCCCCGTCAGCCCCCTTTCTGCTACAGACACACCGGATATCCTGTCTGTCTGTCACGAGGCTGGAGTCGGTGAGGGTTGACGGCGAGATGGTATCGCCCCGGAAGGGGCCCAAGTTGTTGGTTTGTAAGTACCGGTGCTGTCCCGCTCCTCCCATCTGATTTGACCGCTTCTTGCGGTCTTCCATGACCTTGCGCAGCTCGCTCGTGGCATCCCCGACCTTTTCGCGGCGCTCATGCATGAAAGTCTCAGTCTCGCTCTCTCCATCGTGTTGCGACCCTCCCATGCCATCGTGAGCACCGATACTACTGGTGCTCCTATCGCTGACACTGCGTCTGGAGGAGTGGAAGATGGAGCCAACAGGCTTCAGGGGGTCCGGGAGAGCAAACGAGGCGTTGAAGGAACTGGTCCTGCTGGGGATGATAATGGGCTCATCGTCAGAAGATGAGTCTTCATCTTCGGAGAATCCCAATTCGCCTGTTCGACTCCTATCTCGGGACGTCCTTCGGTGGCTGAAGCTTCCATCCCAGTCACATTCATTGTGTACGACAGTTGTTTCAGCACGGGCTCTGCCTCTCGAGTCGATCGTGAACCGGACAGAAGTTCGAGTTCGCGGTGGCTGCAGTGGTGCCTCGGGTATAGAGGCCAGACCCGATAGACGATGTTGACTCTTCATGGGAGATAGCCTTCCGGTCGGCCGTGCTATGGGTCGTCCATTGTCACTGTTCGATCCATTGCTGGCCTGTGAAACTGGTCGAACCGCGGGTGCCAGCTTGGGCAGGACTGGTCGGTTCTGGGTCTGAGGTTGATTTCTCTTGCCTCGATTTTCGCTGACGCTTCGACCCATCCCTGGGCGGGAGTTAGACTTGACGGGAGAGGGAGCAAGTGCACGATCGGGAGCCTTGGTGGCTCTGAGTTCCTTCACACTGGCTGATCGCCGAAGATCCTCTCCCAGAGGTGTTCTCGACCTCGACTGGAAGATGGTAGCTTCGGCCGAGCCAGCTTGTGTCACAGGGATAAGAGCAGCGCTATCCAACATGGGGTTCTGCGTAGACCCAAAGAGCAGTCCGGGATTCACTCCATTCGCTTGTTGTGACATTCCAAAGGGGTCGTCTATGGGTGCGGACAGGGCTGCAGACATGGCAGCACTTGCCGCCGTCGTTGCTGATGTTGGCCCGAGTGGTTTCGGGGCAATAGTGCGGTCACGTCGAGCTGACTGAATGGGCTCTGGGTTCGAAGCGAAAGATGCAGCTGGATCCTGGAATAGTGGTATGTCGTTATTCCAGTCAAAAGATCCTGTATGGCGGTGTCCCTGAACAGGAGTTGTCTGGAAGACATTAGAAGGAGAAGCACTAAAGTCAAAGTCCATGCCCATTGAAGGGTCCCAGAAGCCGGCAGTGCCAGGCGTTGGCATGGGATATCCAAACATGTCACCAGAGGCGGCCATCAGAGCGGCAATATCATGTTGCTGCTGAGAGGCGCCGGTGAAGTCAGGCTGACCGAAGCTCTGATCATTTTGCATCGTGAGCTTGTCAGTGAGCTTCCGCTCTCCCCTACGTCCAGTGGGCGGAGGTGTCGCCGTCTGCGTAGGCTCTGAACCGCTGAGGTCGGCCTTTCTGGCTTTCTTGGATGACTTTCGCTGCTTGGACGGATCAGGGCTGGGCAAGGGAGTCGAATCGGCTATATATTCTTGAGGGACGGTTACTGAATTCGGTGATGAGGCCAGGCGGCGGGATGGATCGACCGGCGGCAGTGGCAGATTGGGATTAGAAGAGAAGTGATTCACATGGGTTGCAATCTCGGCGGCAAATGTCTCGGCGGAGAGCAGCCTCTTATGGCGGCTGGCGGGCGTGGCGGGACTAAGGTCGACGAAGGGAACCTGGTTTCCCCGAAGGTTCCCTGGGGTCTTGTTGAAGACAGAGTAGTCCTCGGCGAAGCGCGGCGTCCAGCCCCCGGCGTCGGTAACGGAACCTTGCCCGGGCTTTGGGGTCTCGAAGATGGGACTAGGGAAGACGGCGGATGTGGGAGTTTGTTGAGAAGTCGGTGGACGAGGGTTCGGATCGGTAAAGCTGTAGGACAGGAAAACTGTCAGTGGTTGTGCAACAACGTGCAGGGCCGAGACGTAGAGATGACATGGTGCAGTTGAGGCAAGGTTTGGAATTGAGCTTGCCTGATAGCCAGTTGATCCCCGCTCATATCAGCTTTAATTGCTTGTCATAAAGGCCAAACCAGAGGCAGGCCGTGGGAAGTATCAAATTCGAGGTTGGTGGCGTGCACGGTCAGCCTCGGGCCGTTGGAGAAGACCTCAGCAACGGCGGTAACACATGCAAAGGACCGGAAAATTAAACTTTGGAGAAACGGTGCAGGTAAGAGAGCGTATGCAGCGGGTCTGTAGCAGGTCGGTTTCGAGATGGGATCTGAAGATTTCGAGCTCGGCGTGGGCAGGGCAGGACAGCTTGTAACAGGATCAAGTCTATTCGGATTTGGATGTCGAAGGTCGGTGCACGTGGGTCATTATAGAAGGTCGTAAACGATCATGGCAGGACGGAAAGAAGGCATTAAAGTCTAAGACTGTTTGTTTTGAACAAAGAGTGTCGTCAGCCTTTGTTTGCAGCGAGAGGAGAGATCAAAGACAGTGGTCCAAACAAAGGGAGGAATGAAGTCGGCATACGGACCATAAGCCCCGATAAAAAAAGAGGAGGGGCAGGAAGGGAAGGGAAGGGAAGGAAAGGGAGACAACAGAGACTAGACTGGGCCGGAGGGATAGAGGCCCCGCTAGATGACGCCGAGGATAGAGATGGATGAGAGGGGGAAAGCCGTAGAGTTTGGGTTTGAGACTTGGCTGAGGCCCTGTCTCGTTGCCAATCGATGTTGTGGTGATGATGGGAGAGATGGATGTTGATGTTGATGTTGATGCTGATACAGACAGAGACGTTTAGGGGAGAAGGGGCAGGGACCAGAAGCCTACCTCGGGCGTAAAATTGGATTATTTCATCGATGCTTTCCAGATTCCTTCTCCTCAACAGCTTCTCTTCTTCTCTTCGCTTCGATCGTGATGCCGTGGCCGCGGGGTCGGTCGTGGGATTAGTTTAGGCAGAAGAGGGTCGAAGTTCGAGGTCGAGGTCAAAGGTCCCGTCCGGTCGTTCGTAGGTCGGTAAATTTTATGGACAGGATGGATGGATGATGGGATCCAATGCACGGGATGGATTGGATGGACGGATGCAGTGGATACGGGCCCAACCTTGCTGTTTACAGCAACTGTTTGCAGGGCTTGGAGCCGAGCTGAAAGCTGATTTCTTTGCAAAGATCCAAAAGAAGAATAGGAGAATAGAGACTCGACAAAGGACAATGAAGCAAACAATCCAGCCAAGCAAGCAAGCAACGGAGAATGATGGAAAGTTGGCTTGAAGCCTTGGTGCATCAGGTAAACCAACCTCAGCTCACGCGATTTGCCTGGGCTTTTTCCGTTGGCGGTTGTTGGGCAACCAAGAGAGGCGGTCCGGGGCATGTCTCCAGGGGCCTTGCAGGGGGCTAGCTTCAGTGGCGAGGGCAGCTAGAGCACGCTGCGGGCTCTCACCAGCCAACCACTGGAACCGGTCTAATCTGGAAGAGGCACCAGCCGAGGAGGCCAGGGGCGGGTGAATGTGCGGGAGAGGAGCTGACGGCATGACAACAAGACTTGTAATGATAACCGTAGATTTTCCTGCCGGTGATAACTTGGTCTGAATACAAACATGTCGGGGCTGTCGATGGGGCCCGGCCCCGGGAAGCTGACCGAAAGCAAAAAAAGAGTAACAATCACAACATCAAGGTTCCAATGGATGGCTGCCGCTATGACTTCTCCCCGTCACACATGCAGATACGACGGCCGACTCCTTCCGAGCTGATTTCCAATGAGAAAAATAGTTGATCAAGTCCTAGACGACGGCAGGCAATAACCATGACAATAAAAAAAGTCTCCCATGTCTATCTGCAGCTGCTATCACCCGAGCTGCATCTTTCACCTCCAACCACCCCCCTGCATCTTGCTGTCGGCTG